AAAGTTTCCGCGCTTCGCGCAGGAGGGGTGAACCTGAATTCAGACGAGGATTATTTTCGAGAACGGTACTATGAATCGTCTTCTTTCTCTAATAATTTGATGAAACGTCAAAGCTATCGCGTTTCGAGGAGGAGGGAGGGGGAAACTCGCCCCTCCCTGCACCCACCCCCCCCCCCGCATTACGTCACTGCTGGTCACCATTACGTTCCAATTTTTGGCTCGCATAATTTCAAATTTGGGCCCCCCCCCCCCCCCCTAAGAAATCCTGGATCCGCGCCTGCGTGTAGGCCCGGATGAAAGATTTTTTGAAAAGGGGTATCGTTTGTTACACGCGCCAGAGGCCTAGACTCTCATAGACCACTATTCAAAATGAAAATTTGTATAGGGGTGGAGTTTGACCAAAGTTGAAAATCCTCTTCTTGAAAGAAATGAAAATGATGATAAAATTAAAGCAATTTCTACCATCTATTTCTACCCCAGACATTTTGTTTATACAATATCTTTCCGTCAACTATCGAAAATTAATCAACATGCAACGTACCTGAAAACAAGTGTTCATTTTTGTTCACACCCAGTAAGTACATTGAGCTGCTTGGTGCACTTGTTTTCTTTGTTATTTTTTTTCTTCTACAAATCATCTTTTTGAAAAAAATTACTATAAAGAAGCCACACATGAATAATGCATTAATAAAAAAATCAAATCAAATTTGGTGACAATGGATGTAAGCCCTTTTGGAAAGGAGTTCTTCACTATGTCATTAACAAACTAGCTAGATTAGGGAGAGTATGCCATTCCAAGAAATGCCTGGGTCACAAACCACCGGGCCCTTTGCGATGTAATTTATTGTATAGTTGATTGTTGTAAAGCCCATAGAAAATTTCTTATTATGCGCTTTATACAAATTACTTTATTATTGTCATTATTATTTCCTCTACCCGGCGGCCTGCCATCCGGAGCTCGCCCGGGACACGAATTTGCGATTCCCAAACCATTCAGCTATGGGAAACATTTTGAGCAACATGATTGGTTAAAAAAGTTATAAAGACACGCCCACATCGACGCGAGCCATCTCATCATGGCGTTGCGAATGTGTCTGGGGCCAAGTCCGAGTGAACCATCAAATCTTCAAACTGATTTTCCAAATCTGCATGTAAGTAGATATTTAGACCCTGTATTTAATTATTTTATTATAAAGTCGCCATGATCTGATCTGTGTCTATGACTTTTGGAATGATGTTTGCATGAATGGGCTGCACATAAACAATGGATAACAGTGGGCCTGTATGTGCCTGTAGCTAGCTCGCGTGTGAGTGCATTGTACCTAACAGCATAGGGTATGTGCAGTCCTGAGTGTTTTGTTGAGACTAGCCTAGCCATGACTAACATTGTGAGTGTTTGTGTGTCTGTGCCAGCTGTGAGCGAGCCCGAGCGTGCAGTAAATGACGTAATATTTATTTCTTCTCTCGACCAATCACGTTGCTCATAAAGTCTCCCATAGCTGAATGGTTTGGGAATCGCAAATTCGCGCCCGGGACCCGTACGATGAGGGGCCATTTACCGTTTTAACGGTCAGATGAAAACGCTGGGAGCTACTCAGCAATACGGCGCCCGTACGGCTGATAAAAAATACCCCGGCGCCCGTATAGGAACTGTACAGGATCCAGCCGGACACCGGCTGAAAATCCCCCAAAATGTCTGCTTTTACTCGCCGCAAGGGCGCAAGAGTATTTGCCCCATAAAGAGTGTCATTTTACAATATACTGCTATTATCAATTCTCTGTTAATACTTGGCTTCACGGAGTACTTCTTCATAAAGGAGCAACGTACGTATACGTAGTGGCGGATCCAGGGGCGGGGGCCCGGCCCCCCTCCCCCTTGAAAAAAAATGTGTATTTTACATTTTTTTAACGTTAATTTTTACCTCTTTTTGGAGAAGCCCCCCCCCCCTCCCTGGCGCTCAATGGAAGGGGGGAGGGGTGCAATTTTGAACATTGGGTGGATAGTGATTCTTTACAATTTTTGTATATTTGGATGCCCCTGTGGATATATTGTACGCACAAACAAATTTAGACCCTAAAAAACTTCTGCTTTTGAGAAAAAAACGTGAATATTGCTCCCGGTAAATTTTCATAAATTTCAAATAGGTTCTACGGCCGTACAATGGTAGCTGCGACCATGAAAACCTCCGAATATGTAGTTGTGATGTATAATTTCCAAACTGGAATATCTAATCGGTCGATTTTAATCAAGAAACATTGTTTTATAGCTTAATTAACTCTTATCGTGCCAAGAACACTGTTCTGTGCATGCGCTGGCGTGCCACGCACACATAATCGGGTTTCTGTTGACTTGCCATGGACACATAAACTCTCATCCGCTCGCATGCCACGGACACATTTTCGTGCATAAGTACACAAGCTAATTGTTTATGCCTATTGTGCGATGCGCATTGCGTGCACGCATGAATGCTTATTGTATTTGTGTAGGGGGTTTATTGTTGTTTTGATTTTGCGTGCTTCACTTATACCGTTACATTGGATTTTCCTGAGAAAATTGCGATATTTTATCATCAAATTTGTCAGTTTTGATCATGGCCCCTCAGATTGTGTGCGGGAAATGAGACAACGGATTGGTTTGACAACTCACTGATAGTGCTTATTTACTTTACCAAAATTACAGATTCATGAAATGATATTGGTATCAACAGAAAGAGGGTTAAATTTCGTACAACTTTAACGTACAATTCTTTTTTTTATACAATATACAGATGAGATGTTATAGTGGATCAAACATAGTAACAATTTAAACTACACGCACTTGAACCAACCCTAAATTAACTTAGCACACAGGAGATTAGTAGCGGGCACAATAGGGATTAGCACTGTGGCACTGGGTGAATTGCATAGGGGCAGCTTAAGAGTTAATATCTTGAGAGAGAGAGAGAGAGAGCTATACAACATAAACAGTTTATTATTTACAATTTCGTAACTCATTAGACTCGATTTCAACCGCGACAACGATCACTAAATATTTTAGGATCGCATATGCTTCCAATCTGTTTATTTGGAAAAAAATCATGACCCCATACCAACATTTTGTTTTACCTTTAATAAAGATATGTTTAGACAATATCATGTAAACACGTGTATAGTTCCTTAAAGAGAAGGTTCATTGATTAAAAGAAACTAACTTTAATGTCATTTCTGCACAGGTGACAAGGCTTGGAAACATTCGAAGTAACGCTTAGATACAGCCCCAACATAGCACCTGAAAAGCTCCCCGGTCGCTGCTGAGATATGACGTCACATGTTGAACATGATGTGCACAAACAGACGATGTCCCATGACATCTCACACAATTTCAGTGCCTGTTTTGTCATCTTTTCTTCAGTTAATTCTCTTATTTCAATACCCTCAGGCGAAATGTTTACTCTATTGCCTCACCCTAAACCCCGTGCGTGGTATTATTTTGATGAAAAATGCAAGAATTAGATTAAAAAAACGAATCCGTTGCTTAAATTGTAAACAAAATAAGACGCCATTGTATTTTCAGCTGTATACACCGTGGCATGTTCGGCGTTTCAAGAGGGAACAAAATGACGTCAATGTGAAAGTGTGGTTTCTTTGATTGTTCATTAACCCATATCCAAACAAAAATAATTTCGTTATCAGAATGGAGGTCATAACTATTTTTGAATGGTGTAAAATTCCATCACATTTATATACACTAAACTCATTATAATTTGAGAAATAAAAGCATTGCAATTATGTTCATTCTTTATGGAATGTCGTCTGCTTGGCCAGGGTTGGTTCATATTGTGACGGCATTAAAATATCGTTATTTCAGGCGAATCTCTGGCATATCCCAGATGCTATGAAGGTTGTTTTATTTGTATTTTTTATAAACCCCCCGATATGTAGTTGACCTAAAACTTGCATGATGGCCATCTGTTAGCTTACCAGTTTCTAGTAATACGCTTTTTGCCATATTTGTGATTTTCTATGAACCCGCACTTTAAGATGAGTCACGAAAGTAACTGCATTTCGGCCAGTGGACACTTTTCGTCAATCGTATACTCATCTCGCTGATCTAGGAGACACATCTCGCCAGTAGAATTCGGCGATGTGTCAGCTAGACGCATCTCGCCAGGCAAGAAAAACAGGGGATGGAGACAGAATAAGAGGCCTATACACTGCAAAACCGTATTTGTGCGATACAGACACGAACTAAAATAGTGGCTTTACAGGTCAACGTGATAGAAACAATGGAATCGTTACATATTTTCAAAGTGTCGATCTCCTCCTGGCTTCTTCATTCTTTTTTTTCTCCACGATTTTCAGTGATCGAAATTGTTTCAGTAGTCTCTCTCTCTCCTCTCCTGTGATATGTTGTGTTTATACTTTAATCCGTCTCTTTTATACACCTTTCCCTTGTTTCCTTCTCATATTCTATACAATTCCCACTTCTCCTTGAATGACTCATGTATTCATGAACCATTTTATGATTAGTAATAAAGCAATCGTTACTTTATATCTCTTATTTTTATCGTAATAATAATAATAATAATAATGATGTTGATAATAATTAATAGTGATAATTTTGCTAACAAAAATCCTGATATTAATGATAATAACTGTTGATAATAATAAAAATGATGATGATAATAATTATATTAGTTTACACACGTCTTAACTCTTAAGCTGCCCCCATTCAATTCACCCAGTGCCACAGTGCTAATCCCTATTGTGCCCGCCACTAATCCTCTGTGTGCCATGTTAATTAAAGGTAGATTCAATTAGCGTGTGTACTTATGCACGAAAATGTGTCCGTGGCACGCGAGCGAATGAGCGTTTATGTGTGCATGGCAAGCCACCAGAAACCCAATTATGTGAGCGTGGCACGCCTGCGCATGCACAGAACAGTGTTCTTGGCACGATAAGAGTTAAATTGTTTGTATTAAAAACATATACTGTATGAATCACACATGGACTCAAATAACTATTCAGCAGTCTTCCCTATTGGAACATTTATTTCAATTACTAGTGATCTCTAATGAAAAATATATATCAATACAAAAATATATCATACGAACAGAAATATATAAAAAACATACATCCTTGAAACATGAAAGACTTATAAGGGGTAATACCCTAGTACTGTATAATGAATGGCTTTGGAGGAACATGAATATAGAAATTAAACAAAAGATATATTACATATTTAGAAACATATTTTAAAATGGCAATGAGACAAAAGAAAGTACGTGTGCGTTAACGAATTTACTTGCATTGTGCTACATGACACATCCATTGTAAGCCTGCTTTGTTTCAATACATCATACATACATTCATGTATTTTTATTATTTTTCAACCCAATTCATTTCTACATCATTATTAAAGCGACATGTTCCTAAACAAGAGAAAGGACCTACGTGAAAGTTTTGGTTACACTTCCCTTAATCTTTCTTTAATCTGCATAACCTTTTAATTAATTAACTAAACAAACAAGTCCGTGTTACACATTCCTTTAATTGAAAGGGAAGCAAGTGGGATACAAAATATTCCTGGTGGTGGTGGGGGGGGGGGGGGGGGGGGTTAAATTTGGTATGTGACAAAAATGTCACAAGTACAAGTGCACGAGGTAAAAAATATTGTTTTTTATTCATAAAGGCAATATTTAAAGTTACTGTTTGTATTGTTTTAGTGCTATGTATTTACCCTATATGATCACATTATTCTGGGTACCTGATAGCCCTTTTCTACATAATTTGAAATTAAATGTATTCATACAAAACCATATCAATTAAAAAGAGTATTCATCTAATAGATATATAAAGAGAGAGAGAGAAAGAGGGGGATGGTATACTCCCCGCTAACATAAGCATTTGAAATAAAAATATAGAAAATTTGTACTATTTAAAGTCTTAAAATTGATCCGCATTAAGAGCATGAGATAGGAATCAGCTATTTAGATAACAGTTAAGGAGAAAGCATATGTTACCACATTCATGATATTTTGTGAGATAAGTATAAATTACTTGATCAATACATATATGATATCAAACCCATCCTGATTAACAATGCAGCCCTTGTACACTCACAGATACAGAAAATCGTATTCAATTCATTTTTATATTTATCTTCAAATATTTCTATATCATTAGTTTTATGTTTTTAACAAAGACTTGCTGACAAGCAGTATTTTTAGACTGATTTGAGTAAACCTTAATTAGTATAATAGTATGATCGTTTGTAACAGAGACTTAGCATGATTACATCAATTTATTCAGTCAATCGGTTAAATGCAAATACCGTAAGCCCTTAATTAATATAATAGTATGATTGTATACACTTTGATATTTAGCCTATCAAGGGGGTTACTTTGTTGCCTGGCAAAAATGTCACAGGTAAAAGTGCAAGAGGTAAATAATGTTAGTTATATTCATAAAAGAAAGATTCAAAATTACTGTTCGTACTGTTTTAGCGCCATGGATCGATCCCATATGATCATACTATTCTGTTTACTTGATAGCCCTGCTTTCTACATCATATGCATTTAAATCTATTCATACAAAATCAGAATGCTGTATAGTGTATTCATCTAATATAGAGAGAGAGAGAGAAAGAGAGAGAGAGAGAGAGGTGTTATACTCCCGCTACCATAAGCAATTGAAATAAAACTAAAGAAAATTCGTACTATTTAAAGACTTAAAATTGGTACATGTTAAAAGCATGTGATAGGAATCGGCTCTTTAGATAACAGTTTGGGTGAAATCATGTTTTACCACATTTTAAATTTTTTTGTAACATGAATATAAATTACTTGATCAATAAAGATATGATATCAAACCATTTCTAGATTAACAATGAAGCCCTTATATATTCACAGATACAGTAAATTACATTGAAATCATTCATGTACTTATATCCAATTCGATCTGTATAACATCAGTTTTATGTTTGTAACACAGACTTGCTGAAAAGCAGTCTTTTTAAAATGAGGTGAGTTTAACATGATTACATCAATTCAATCAGCCAATCGGTGAAATGCAAGTAAGCCGTTAATTGATAAAATAGTATGGTTGTTTGTAACAGAGACTTGGAATGATTACATTAATTAAATCAGTCAATCTGTCAAATGCAAGTAAGCCCTTACTTAATCTAATAATATGATTGTATACACTTTGATATTTAGCCTATCCAGAAGAGAACCCATCTATCCATAAGACGTAACTAATTCACTAAATTCTTTTCCGTTGTCATATTCGTTCTTTGTCCGAAGGTAAGATTCTTGGTGATCAATAATGCATGGGATTTCGCTCCACACCATTGTACTGTAATAAAGAAGAGTAGAACAAAACAGAAAATCAAAGTTTGAAAGAAAATACATATCCTTTGGTATTAAAGTGTACCAATCACTTAACACAATTAAGTTATGTATTGCTAGAATTAATAAATCAAACTTCAACATTTAACCAGGCATCTAATGGATTCACGGTTAAAAGGTAAGGATATAAAACAGTGCACGTGGAACCCAAGTTGGACTTTGGTTCCGTGTGAGCCCTATTAGAAGCGAGTGCTGAGGGTGCACTGCATACTCCATAGTCTACTCACACATTTCTTGTATATCCATTGAGAGTGTTATAATAATTTAAGTTAAAATATTTAAAGTAATATCTCTAAAGCTCATATTTGTAATCAAGTGATACAACATGGAACTAGTAACATATAAAATATACTTTTTTCTGGTGATCAGAGCACTCTAAAATAGAAATAATAAATGAGGGGTTAGAGAAAAGACACAAATGTGACATGACAAGCATTGTAAAATAACTTATTGATTAATTAAAAGTAATTCCAGTATATTAAGACTGGGAATGGGTCCTTTTCCTAAGACGGTCAAAGTGGAGGTGTCATGGTATAGTGGTCAATTCACTTGACTTTTAATCCAAGCCAAGCAATAATGTCCTTTGACTGGAATTAATCCACATTTACTAATCTCTACCAAGGTATTTATGATGCGAAAGTCACTGCAGTTTGCTTAGCATTGTGGTTTTCCATAAAATAGCACTTGGCTGGGCTGTTGGCACCTCAGGAGAATGTGCCTACATTTGCATGCATTGTGTGCAGGCAAGCCTAAATCCAATGACCAATGGTAATACTATAACAATAAAGTGCTTAGAGACATTGCCAATGTATCAAGCCCTATTACAAACCAAGATCGTTATCATTACTTAAATTAACATTAAAAAATACATAAAGAATTTTGAAAGGGCAGATTAACTTTCCCACCAATTTAAAGGGGTAACTTATGCCAATCTTGTATAGTTCTTGGGAGAAAGGAGTTGACACGTTCCAAGGTTCTTCATTCGATGACTCTGTATGCATCAAATGTCCACAAACAGTGGGTGAAAAGGCCACGCAACAACGCCGCCGAGAGAGCTCAGATTTTATGTCTAGCCCAGAAGTTGTAAATTGGCCCATGACATCTGATGGGTGGCATACCGTATTACAAGTACTCAGAGCCATAAACACAAGAGTTTGATCAACTTGATTTCAGTTGGTCAGAACATGGTGTATTTTTGTTCAGTGTCTGCCTATCATAGCAGTATTTGCAAATCTGTGCCAAACTCAAATATGATTGGCCAAACTCTCCTGATAAATGACACTATGAACGCAGAGCATTGTCAAATGCAAATAATCTTCTACATACCGTTTCACTCCCATCTACCACATAGGGAGTCCTGAAATTGCGATCTTCATGACGCTGTTGGGAAGACAAACAATAATAAAAGACTTGATAATTTCTTTTTCTTTCAAAACATAATCTATAAAATCATTAAATCGAAAAGTATACTGATTAAAAACAGATAATCAAGAATCTAGTTGTTTTCACTATTTATTTTCATGTTGATAACCCTTGCTGTGTCGGGGTCAAATTCATTGTATATGTTGCATAAAGAATCATTTAATTTCAAGCACACATTGCCCCACCATCATGCATTATAAACATTAAGCAATTACTATAATTGTTTTGAGAAAATTGCATATTTTGTATAGGAACACTTCTGGCTTCTCTCTATGAATATGAAACAGTAGTAAACAAATGAGGAATGTAAATGTAAAAAAACTAAATTGAAACACATTTTCATTTCTCGATAAATTTCATGCATGACATCGTTTAAAGGAGGCAAGTATGGTGTTGTAAGGATGGTAATACATTTCCTATACAAGCGATGTATGTGCAGGTGTGTGAAAAAAACAATGTTCAGTTTGTTTGTAAATTATGAAAAGCCTTTGGTATATTCATTACATGATAAATATATGTTGAAGAGGGAGATTATTTGTGTGGTATATATAGCTTTAAAGTGATAGTTGAGTTCTGTTGCAGAGGGCGCTACACAAAATATTGTTTATAAGATAATAAAAAAACTGAGTGTCAAATTTAAAAGAACATAATATTTAAATGACAAAATCATCTTTGTTTGATCAAAATCGGTTCAGAGACAGCTGAAATATAACGATTTCTAATACTTGTGTACCACCACAAATATTAGATATTTTGAAAAATTTGAAAAAAACGTGGAAAAAACGAAATAACGCCTTTTATGTCATATGGTTTTTTTGTTGGCATTTTCGTGTTGCTTATATTACCCACAATTAGCCGGCTCGTGTATTGTTATTTTGAATTAAATAATTAATTCACGGTCACCTTGTTTTTTGGAAAGTGGAGCTGAATTGGTATGATCATATTGGCTAAATTTCACACATTTTGGGATCTAAAATTATCTTCATAGCAATTTTAGGTTCTAAAAGGACACTATAAATGTCATAGATAAGAATTAGAGCAATAACCATGCACTTTAAAGGCATTTGCTGTCTGAAAACAGAACTCAACTATCCCTTTAAACATATGGACAAGGAAACTGTTTATACCGGCGCATCAATTCTGCGTAGTCGATCCAATGCTTGACCAACTGCATACCGGCGTCCTTCAAGGGAATCGTACTCCTCAGAACCATTGAAAGATTCGTTTCCGTAGAAGCTTCTATTTTGTCTGCTCGAATCGACATACCGTTCTTCACTGAAAACAAAACAAAACAAAACATTGTTATATATTTTTGTTATAAGTAATAATAATAATAATAATAATAATAATAATAATAATAATAATAATAATAATAGTGGGTTCTTGTGTAGCGCTCATGTCTGTCATACGTGACACTCCTGGCGCTCCCGAGTATGATGCCATACGTCACTCTAGCATTTCAAGGAATCAATTCCTGCCAGTGTTAACATTGTGAGTAATAGCATCACAAAATTTACAAAATATGCAGAGACAGAAGACCATCACTGAGAACTGTGATGGGCCAATCCAGTGGTTCACTGCATCTCAAAGAGAATCAAGAGGGATCTGTGGTTACACAGAGTCGGATAGATTGATAGATAGATAGACAGGTAGGCAGATGAATAGAAAGGTGGATAAAGGTTTATAATTATGGAAATAAATGTAGACAGGTTGATAGAGGTATCTACATATAAGTAGACAGATTGATAGATAGATGGATAGGTAGATATTTTCTAATTATCATGCATACACATGTCAATAAGAGTTATACCACTTAGCAAGGCACCTCTAGATACATCTAAGGCAAGTTCAAAATACATATAGGTCCCATACTTTACTAAGTATTATTGGAGTGTATTATGGCATCGTCATCATGTAATTTTCAACATTAACATACATTTTAATTTTTTTGTTTTGTCTGATTCAAGCTCTAGTAAACCTACCATCTTGCTACAGTCAGATATATTGAAATCATAGATCTGGTGGGTAACGTATGGGAAATAATAGCTTGGAACTTGCTGATTTGTAAGTTTATTGTAATACTCACGCGAGCATCATTTTTGTTGCTTGATTTCGTCTGACACCTTGCATGAAAACGCAGCAGACACAGGTTACGAGGACGAGAACAGAACCAAATACTCCGAGAGCAATACCAATGATGGCTCCATTCGACAATCCTTGAGAAGCTGGACAAAATGGATCAAATATGAGATTATGAAAAACAAGACCAGATGAAATATATGTGGACATGTACGCGAAATCAGTTGTGACTGTGCAAAGAAAAGAGAGTACCCTAACATCTATTTCTTGTTATACCGTATATATATATATATTAATAAATATATATGCCCAGGAAGAGTGAGTGAGAGGGAGAATACAAACACACACAAAAACAGAATAACACAATCTATTTGATTAAAAGTTTGTCATAATAATTATAAACATAGAACCATAGTCTGAACCGACATTATGTGAGGATCAACATTGAACTTACCATTCTGGCAAAGATCTCCTGTAAAACCAGTTGGGCAATTGCAAGGCTGTCCAGAAGAAGTACATGTCCCACCGTTCTGGCAGTTTGTTTGATCGCACTGAACTGTTCATTTCAAAGATATACGAATGATTTAATTTTCTTCTGATAACTTAGCAACTTATTTTTTCGTTATTTTTTATTTATAAAGTTTAGACAGTAGAAGGACAAGAGCTCTATAACTGCTTTAATATGGCGAACAGAGCAACAAGACCAAGCTTTATAATTGTTAGGTTTATCCAATAATAGTTTGTCCAATAATGCCGAGTTTGTGCCACGGAACTTAGTCGGACATTTCAATTATATTCTTTTTATGTCATACGTCTTTATCTTTTTTATATGTTAGTCTACCTTGCTGATACCTCCTCAAAATATATATGATAGACTATCATTAATTCTGCTGCATTACCATATAGGTTCATAATATATAGTACATATATTATACATAATTTTTGATATACATTTTTTTTCTTTCTTTCTTCCCCGTAGCATGAGAGTAATTTTAATTGCTTCATTCTTGTAATTAAGTGAAATGTTATTCGTTATTGTATAATTGTGTTAAGTGGGGGCACGCAACAAGAGTCCTATCTCGCACCCCGGGGCAACGTGTCTGACACGGCCGGTTGTAGCAACTACTTCGAAGATCAAGATTAAGATTAAGATTGAGAATAATAATAATTTAGACTTAGACTTAGAGTAATATTAAGATTACGATTAAGATCAAGACCAACATAACATAATGAAAATGCCCAATAGAGCAGCATCCCAGAGCAATTCCGCTGAGGGACCCCTCTCACGACCGGCCCTGACGGTGCTATCATGGAACGCCGAAGGTATATCAGATGCCAAGGAGGAAGTCCTTGCACATATGTGCAAACAAATGAACTGCGATGTGCTATGTCTTCAAGAGACTCACCGCGGCAGCGACAATCCACGGCCCAAGATCAAGGGTATGAAGCTTGCCATCGAGCGGCCACATCGCCAATATGGAAGTGCTATCTTCATGAACGAGAAGATCAGACCGGATTCTACATCCTATACCCACAATAACGACATCGAAGTGCTGAATGTGACAATCAAAGGACTAACGATCTCCTCCATCTACAAGCCACCAAACATAAGTTTTTCGTATCCTTCCACCACTACCAATAGGCATATTGTAATTGGCGATTACAACAGCCACAGCACGCAATGGGGATATGATACCACTGGAGATGATGGAGCACTAGTTGAAACATGGGCCCAAAACAACGACCTAAAACTAATCCACGATCCAAAGCTCCCAAAGTCTTTCGCCAGTGCCCGCTGGAAGAGACGTTACAACCCGGATCTAGTTTTCTGCAGCAGGCTGCTTGCTCCCACCAGTCGTAAGTTTGTAGCTGAGCCGATTCCAAGATCCCAACACCGACCCATCGGCATTCAACTGACTGCAGTTATCACACCAAACAAGACCCCGTTCAAGCGCAGGTTCAACTTTGCTAAGGCAGACTGGCCTGCTTTCACCGAACACCTTGATCATGCCCTAACACATCTCCCTGCAGATCCAAAGAACTATGAATCCTTCATAGATATAGTCAAGAAGGTGTCACGTACACATATCCCAAGAGGCTGCCGCACGACATACATTCCAGGCATCGATGAGGAATCAAGTCAGCTTCTGGCAAACTACACCACAGCCTACGACACAGATGCCTTCTCAGAGGATACCATCAACCTTGGAGAAGAGCTTATATCAAGGATATCTCAACGACATAGGCAGATGTGGCAGCACATGATTGAAACAACAGACTTAAGACACAGCAGCAGGAAAGCGTGGGCCACCATACGCAAGCTCGGAATTGACAGCACCAGAGCTCAACAGCATTATAATGTTACGGCTGACGAAGTAGCAAATCAGCTGTTGAAAAATGGAAAGGCCCCCAAGACGACTAATTCACACAGGCACAAACTACCTGGAGTTGACCAGAACATGTCTCTTTTCACAAGACCTATTTCTGAAGAAGAACTACAGAAAGGTATCTCCACGCTACACGTCAACAAGGCGGCAGGCATCGATGACATCAGATCGGAGCAGATCAAACACATGGGCTCTGTAGCACAGAAATGGCTGCTAGACATGTTTAACAACTGCATCGAGAACACATGTGTCCCAAAACAGTGGCTCCGAACCAAAGTCGTCGCTATCCTCAAGCCAGGAAAGGACTCGAACGAAGCCAAGAACTTTCGACCGATCTCGCTCCTGTGCCAAACATACAAGCTGCTTGAACGCCTTATTCTCAACAGAATTGGGCCTCACGTTGACAGCCAACTGAACTGTGAGCAGGCAGGTTTCCGACCAGGAAAATCCACCACGGGACAACTTCTCAACCTGACCCAACACATCGAAGACGGTTTTCAGAACAACCTCATCACAGGTGCAGTATTTGTGGATTTATCTGCGGCTTATGACACTGTCAATCACCGAAGGCTACAGACAAAACTTCATGACATCACAAATGACCTCAAACTCACCAGATTCATTCAGAAGATGATGCAGAACAGACGCTTCTTTGTCGAACTGGATGGGCAGAAGAGCAGATGGCGGAAACAGAAAAACGGTCTCCCCCAGGGTGGCGTCCTGGCGCCAACACTCTACAACATATACACTGCTGACATCCCTTCAACAGAGAACACTCGAAACTTCATCTATGCAGATGACACCTGCATCACAGCCCAGCATAGTACCTTCGAAGCTGTTGAACTCCATCTCAACACAGCGCTCGCAAGCCTTTCGGAGTACTACAGAGCAAACTACCTACGGGCAAACCCATCCAAGACTCAGGTGTGTGTTTTCCACTTGAAGAACAGGGAGGCAAAGAGAGAACTGAAGCTAAAGTGGAACAATGTGCAACTTAACCACTGCGAGCATCCAGTGTATTTAGGTGTAAAACTTGACCGCACTTTATCCTTCAAGAAACATATCGAGAAGACAATAGGCAAAGTAGAATCTCGAAATGCCATCATCGGGAAGCTAGTATCTTCACACTATGGCGCTGACCCCAAAACTGTACAAAGTGCAGCTGTTGCTCTATGCATGTCATCCGCAGAATATGCTTGCCCAGTTTGGAGCAGATCAGCCCATGTGAAGAAGCTTGACACCACACTCAATAACACATATCGAAAGATAACAGGATGTCTGAAACCAACAAAAGTTGAGGAGATATATCACCTCGCTGGCATTGGATCTCCTAACCAAAGGCGCACTAACACCTGCCTAAAGGAACGGATGAAGCAGGCGACAGATGACAGACACATGCTACACGGATACTTACAACCCCACAAACGACTTATATCCCGACACAGCTTCCTCGATTCTGTCCCACCACCTGAACAGAATCCTCCACCATCAGTCAAGCCCGTACTCATCAAAGGTCTTAACCTGAAGTGGCCGGAGTGGCAATGCCTAAATCGAATGCGGACGAGAATGGGACGGTGTAAGGTCAATATGGCAAGATGGGGCTATGCCCATGAAGGAGATACTCTCTGCGACTGTGGAGAGACTCAGACGATGGACCACCTCTTGCAGTGCGGCGGAACGGGTTGCACAGATGAAGACCTGTCCCTTGTTAATGAAACGGCAATTGCAGCAATCGAGCGATGGAAGAACTTAATTTAATTTAATTTACTTCTAAGTTAAGGAACTTTACATTACTATCTTGATCTAAGGAGACACGAACGAACGAACGAATATGAACAAAATGATAATAATGATTAAACAGTTGTCTTAATACTTCATGTGCTACGACAGCTATATGTGAAACAAAATTAAATTGCCTAAGTTATTGAAATGTGAGTATAAAATATTGTGATAAAACATATAGCACTAGAGTCATTCCTCCTGCTTCTATTGGTACAACTTTTCATGGTTGACTGCACAGAATGTCAAACTCCATGTGCGCAAACTTCATGCATTTTCTTGCCTTGGTATTGATACATAACCATCTCTAATTTGATATTGAATGATAACATACCCATCGATTAAAATGCAAGTCACTCCAAGATATCATAATTTGAAGGCTTAAATTATTTGTCACAAACAAATTTGTGAACAAACACTATTTATTGTTTGTTTCTTGAAAACAACATACCAATATGTCACTTGTTGATTACTAATATTGCAAATAATTTAGAACCATCAATTTAAATTCACAAACTATTTATTCACAGTTGCAAGGCTATACTATTTTCTAATTGAAAACGTATCTGAAATTGACTTGTCGATTATGTCTTTTGTGAAAATGGCTTTTTATACATTGCAGACAACTGAAAGATACTCATTTCAAGATAACCAGTCACAAACAACAAAATCATTTGTTTTGACAACTAAAAAAGTATATTTTGTAATACAATATCCTGTTGTAAAGGTGCCTTAAGAGAAGAATGGCAGGTGACAAAAGGCTGTCTTTTACACTTACCATTTGCCGATATAGATGCTTCCAGAGTTTGACCACTAGCTGATAAGTTTTGATCAATGTTGGTAGATAAGGCAGATAAACTTGAAGCAAGCCCATCTGCTACACTTTGGCTGTCAGCCGCAAGTTCCATTTGCAGGTCACCGACTACACTACCTTGGCGGAATGACAGCACTATGCAATTATCACCGACAAGTTGAGAACCTAACTGTACCCTTACATATTGGCTGAACTGTTAAATGAGAAAGTAGAGAAAACAACAATCAGAATGAGCTAAGATACATAATGTAGTTCATACTTTTATTGTTTTCATAGATAAAAGTACAGTTCCAGTCATGCACTGACAAATTAATTAAACTAATTAATAGAGAAAGATTGATTATGTAGTTCAGAGAAATTAAGGCACACTGTGAGGTTCTGGAATCATTAAAATGATCATTATTAAGCCATAGTAGTACAGCGTCTCCTCTTAGAGACATTTTTGTTTTATCTTTAGATCCAGAATGCTAGGTAGTACACATTATACATGAGCAAAAATCTTCCACAAAAAGTTGACTCTCATGCAGTACAATATGCCATTCTCAAATTAAAGCTATTTAATTGCAACTAATCATTTATCACTATTTTCGTGTACACATTTGTCATTTGTTAGACGTACGGGCAAGTCGATACAACAATGCCTTCCGCAACACCCTCAGTGACCGAGGCCAAACAAAGGACTACAAGTATATTCTCTCTTGTTTGTAATGGATCTACATGTAGCACTTTTCAGAAGGAACCATCACTTTATTACAAAGTTCCAGAAGACCACTGTACTTTCTGACATATGTACAAAAATCTTAATGCGATGGTGTGTATGTAGATTGTTGGATTTACAAGCTGAAGAGGCACCCACTTTTACATATTTACGTCTACAAAATTGTCATCAATTTTCTAGCATTTACTGGTGAAGAAAGATATACTTACAATGTAACAGAATGCAACTTCATATTCCATGAATTTGGCCGATGACCTATTGGTTAATTCTGGTGTATACGTTAGGGCTTGACCATTCAGACTTTGTCCTGTAATCTGCACAGTCACTCGACTAGTGAACAGACTGCTTGAGAGAGCTGGATATACAGAGAAAGAAAAAAATGGCATTAAGTCAAAATATGTATGGATATTTTAATGTGTTTCGTCCATGAACAAAAATAATTAATACACTCGTTTGCGTACTTACATCAAACAAGATTTTCATAATACGCATGGAATGTGTAAAATATTTGCAAGACCAGCCTAGTCGGATGATTCATAAGGGGTTGTATCAATTAATTTTCATTCATGTACTTGTACAGTTAAGATCTAAATTATTCATACCCTTAAATACCAAGTTTTATATGTTGATAAATACATAATTTTTTTTTTTTTGGCCCGATTTACATTTCTGAGGGAAATGACACATTAAAAGTTTACATTTTTGAGTTCGAGAAAACACATGAACAACTAGATGGATCTTCAACTACGCGCAGTCGAAAATGATGCCTCCGCCATAGAGCGATTTTACAAACCAAAATAGAAGCAATTTTGAAAATTCAAGCTTGATTGTAATCCATTAACACGTTCTCAGAATATGGTGATTACAAGCCATTTTCCATATACATGTATGACCCTTTGATATTTGACCTCTGACCTCATTACCCTAAAATCTTATCAGGTCATGGGCTCTGCAAGATAAACTTTGACATCGTGACCCCAACATCTTATCAGTTCATTGGATCTGCAAGATACATACATGACCCAAGTGTGGCGGTAATCCATTAATTTGTTCTTGAGAAAACGCGATCACAAGCTATTTTTGCATACATAACGAGTCATGTGACATTTGACCCTTGACCTTGTAAGCCCAACATCTCATATGTTCATTGGCTCTGCAATATACATACATGACTTAAAGTACAAGTCCACTACAAAAATAACTTACTTTCAATAGAAGCAGAAAAATCAGACAAACCAATGAAAAAAAGTTTTGAGCAAAATCAGAGAACTAAAAAGAAAGTTATGAATTTTTGAAAAAGGATGTAAAACTATGGAACAATGGAAATTACAACACAAATTACCAATTTGGTTATCAGTTTGTGACGTCATGTCCTCACTATTTATCAATTGCTTTATATAGTTTAATCCCATTAATTTGCCTTTTTATCCCCAAAAACATGATTTCCCCCATGCATTTCACAAAAATCTTTTATGAACTTTGAAGAATTGATACTATTTTCCGAATATTGTATATTCATAATTATTGATTAGTATATAAATAGTTTATATTGTAACGCCATATTCTGTCAAATTATTATATTCATGTCATATTTGTAATGTGTCTTATGAAAGAAAGATAAATAAAACTTGAAACTTAGAACTTATCAAACTTTTATTGAAATGATCAACTGATCAATAAGATTAGCATATGATAATCATGGTAATGAGGGTAATAATGGAACATCATATAAAACACAGTCTCTGCTCATCTTTAGGATGGCACAACAGTCGGTACAGTCACTGATGGTTATTTCTTTGCTGGTGGTGGTGTTTTCATATCCACATCCTCCATCTCCACCCCACGAGTAATCCACTCCATCCAGAAAGGTTGGACATGGTCGAAAGGTTAGGGCTGTCTTGAAGGGGGGTTGAGCTCTGGTCAGCCGATCCCAAAGCCGCAGACACCGAGGTGGAAGTGTGCTGATGATGCTATTGTTGCTGCTGCTGGTTTGCAGGTAGAGGGAGGAGGGGGCATCATTTTCGGAGCAAAACGCTGCTGATACTGCATTGTTTGCTGCATGTGTTCATGTGTCTGTGAACCCCAGACTGAAGCAGGTGGTGCCTTGTGTCTCCACATGTGGGGGAGGTGGTTGATACATCTCAGGATGGTGATGAGACAGAATACGAGGATGGTGTCGAGCTGTGAGGTAGTGGTTCAGGCATGGCGGGGCCTCCCATGTAACTTGGGATGTCATCATCACTGTCCTCCTCCATCGACCGCGACAGTATCTTGTTGATAGCTGATCTTGGCTTCCTGAACTTGGGCTTGGACATGCTGATCAAGCTTTCACGGACGTAGGTGGCTGCTGGTGTGCATCGCTGAGGCCTTTGAGGATCTCACCAGACTCGTGCACTCTCTTCTGGAGGGATTCCAGGACAGCGCCGTTGTCATCCCGCTTGCGCCGTGAGGCTGAAGGGATGGTATGGATGATGTCAGCCTCCTTTGGACCAATTTGCCGCTCGGCACAGGCAGCCTCAGCAGCACCTAGGTCTCCGACAAGTGAGTCAATAGTGGCCTTCACCTGCAAAGACAAATACGAAACAATAGCCATCAGAGTGTGGCAGCTATCCCCTGACCGAGGACATAAACAATAGTGGCCTTCACCTGCAAAGACAAATACGAAACAATAGCCATCAGAGTGTGGCAGCTATCCCCGGAACGAGGACATAAACAATTAAATACGAAAACTTAGCGGTGGAATTGGCTAAGTCGATGAAGCTGAACAAGTAGGCAAGCTAGTCATAATCATCTTGTGCAAGTATGGAAACTGTAGGTGGTACGAAAAATATATGCAAATTGAATCGCCTTTAAAAGAACAAGGCCTCCCAAATAGTAAACTTGTTTACTTACACTTTTGCAAGGCTCAGGACGGTGTCGGATGACGGTTTTCAGGAATCCAAACTTTGCCATGATCCACTCTTCCCTCTCAGTGAGCTCAGGGGCACCATCTCCACTCTTCTTCCTGTCAAGGCGTGTGTGGTTGTCTCTGAGTGACTTAAACCATCCCCTGAGGAGTTCTTGCCCATCTGCTGTGCCTGGTCATCCCATATCTTGTTTGTCTTGTCAGTCCTCCTGTAGTTCGTCAACTTCATGTTCCAGAGGACAGGATTGTCTTGGAGGAATTCAAGCATGAGCTCCTCATCTTTACTGACAGGGAGCAAAGAGCTTCAGGCAACAGATGCAGCAACTGAGTCAACAGAAGAGGCACGGGAGGCACGGAAACCATCATCGGAAGGACGAGATGGAGAGCATGGTGATTGCGAGCGGCCGGTATGGGGCACAGCAGGGATATCATGAGGAAGTGAATCGGCTGCTTTAGACGATGGCGGTGAGGATGAAGGTGAGGATGATGGCATAGATGGGTTCTTCTTGCCTCTACCTCGGCTACTGACAGACTTCTTGGTTGCTGTCTTTTGCGATTTATTGGGTGCCATTTTGATGTTGATAGCTCGCCGACTACTGTATAAATGCGGTACTGTAGAAATCGGCGCCATATTTATGCAGAACGTCACATGATCTTCGGCAACACGCCGAGCGCTGCGCATAGTTTTCTCATAAGCTACTCATACGTTGGGCATAGTAGGTCGAGAATGCTAGACATGACCTGACCATACGCTGTGATTCGCTGTCATACACTGTCATAAGTTAGTGATAGGTTACTAATAGGTTAGACATACGATATGTATACGTTCAATTACGTTATGCATACGCCCAAATTATTCATGCTGCAGAATTTTCAATGTTTTGGGGGGCATATGCCGACGTTTTGACATTATTTCATGAAATTTCATACGCTAGCTATAATTTTCTCTAAAACGTCTTGGTATGACTGGGCTATAACTGTTTATATTATGTTTGACCAATTAACATTAGATGAAATATATTGAACATATTTCACAAATGCATGCCTGTTCACCAGACTAAATGGCCAAATTTCTACCACATTCTGTCTGGCACGAATTTGAATGCTCCCCATATTTTGTTGGTTTAATTTGAAAAGTGGTTACACACGTTTGAAGTATGTAAGTATGAAATCACATGCACCAAAGCTAAAACAAATGTTATTTGGATAATAAATCATGCCTTCATTCAATTCTGCATGAATGAACTTGATATTACTTTGTTTGTTTCTATCTTTCTGTTTTTTCTATTTTACAAAGTTGGTTATAGAACCTACATTATTCCGTATGCCATCGAAAAAGGAAAATTTGTATTTACACATACCATTGCAAGAATTTGCATTGACTAATGTGAACCCATCGTTGCAGACACAAGTGTATGATCCATCCAAGTTGACACATCTTCCATTATTACAGAGACTTGTATTTGTCGCACACTCATCTATGGAAAAGTGTTAAAATAAAAAATGTGAATACAATCTTACTTTAATGAAAATGGTTATACTATTAACAATGATAATAATGATATTAATAATGATAATAATAATAATAATAAATAATGATGCTGATATTGAAGGTCATTTGCAATTGCTTACTTCAATGGTTGAGTTCTGGACATGAGATTGCATTGTGCAGAAATCTGCTATTGATCGGGAAAAGGTTGATTACATTTTTGAAGTCTTTGAGATCGCAGTGTTAGATTACATGAGAATATTACAAAAAATGAATGTTGAATGTTGATTAACCCCTATCAGATGTATTTACAAGCAAAAGATTTTAGTTATCAGAATCGGGTCATATCGCCTTTTGAATGGTTTAACACGCTCTTACATTTATATACACTAAACTCATAATAATTTGACAAATAATAGCTTTGCAATTATGTTCATTCTTTATGGGATGTCGTCTGCTTGGGCAGTATTAGTCCATATAGTGACGTCATAAAAACATTGTTTATTTTTCCGGCGAATCTCTCGTATATCCCTGCTGCTATGGAGGTGGTTGTATTTGTATTTTTTATAAATCATCCAATATGTAGTTGACCTAAAACTTGTACTATGGCCATCTGTTAGCTTACCAGTTTCTAGTAATACATTAGTTGACATATTTGTGATTTCTTTTGAATTTCACATTTAAGCATATATATATATATTTACAAGTTCCAAAATGTCAAGCTGTGTGGAGACAGCTTGTTCGACCTCTTCTACAATCTCTGTAAATCAATTCAAATTCATTATATCCTTACCAAAATCAAGTAATGCCATCCTTGCTTAATTCATTTTTGTTTAACTAATCGGTCAAGACAACAATATGTATGAATTTGTTTTATTAAACCTATCTCTTTACCTAATTGTGAGGTTGCACTAGGTTTTGCTGTAGGCTGCATGGTTGTGGCACTTGATGGAACTGAAAAAAGACAAAGAAAGTACAATTTTCTGTATAATACAAAACTATATATAAACCTGATCAACATCTAAATTTCACAGTATTGCATTCCACGCTAAATACATTTCTAAAACACATGTAAGTTGACTTTTGAAGCAACTGTGTTTTGTCAAAACACACTCTTTCCCTAAAAATGACAAACTCTCTTTGCAGTTGATTGTAAATAGTAAATACATTTCAATCTACAGGCAAATTGCAAATTTGAGTTTTGCGAAAACTGGCAAATTAAACGTTTAGTCAAAGCTTACCAAAAAAAAATGAGATTAAAACAAAAATATTAATAGGCTCTCATATATATCACATCGACAGAGCAAAAGTTAAAACCCTATGCTATTATTGCAAGGCACAACAGATTTTAAGAGACAAAAAAATATTTAAAAATGAAAAAATATTGTAATAATTTTTTTTGTCAACGCATAAATGGTAAGCTGTGTGGAGACAGCTTGTTTGACCTCTTCTACAATCTCTGTAACTCAATTCAAATTCATTATATCCTTACCAAAATCAAGTAATGCCATCCTTGCTTAATTCATTTTTGTTTAACTAATCGGTCAAGACAACAATATTTGGGAATGTGTTTCATTAAACCTATTTCTTTACCAAGTTGTGAGGTTTCACTAGATGTTGCTGTAGGCTGCATGGTTGTGGCACTTGATGGAACTGGAAAAGAGACAAAGAAAGTAACATTTTCTGCATAATACAAAACTATATACAAACCTGATCAACATCTGAATGTTGCATCATTGTGATCCACGAAAAATACATTTCTATAATACATGGAAGTTCACTTTTGAAGCAAGATTATTTGTCAGGACAAGCCCCTTCCTTGAAAATATCAAAGCTCTTTGAAGTTGATTGTAAATAGAGAAGGAAAACATGAAGATGTGCAGATATGTGGTCGCAAATTGTCAGCAACTGGCAGTGGAAGCCAGGTAGGTGGGTAAATAATGAATACATCACAATCCACCAACTAAATTGCCAATTTGAGGTTTGCATAGACTTGGTGATCTCATATTTCAAATACTTACAATTTTCTTAATATTTGTCCAATGCTTTCACACAAATAATATAAAGTCCAGTGGTCAAATTGCTCTCTTACTTTTGCTGTGCAACGGGTTTTAAATGAATTTCAAGATCTTACTAAGACACAAACAATGCTTCCTAGATAAACTCATGAAAGGTGGTGTGACCATAGCTTGCGTGTGACCTAAGTTTGCTATCTCAACAAATTATTCCAATCACATGTTGTTGGCTGAGACAAAATTTACCAAGAAAATATATGATACAAAACATAAACAATGGATATAACTAGGCTCTCTTATATATGACATAGGCTGAGCAATATACATATCCTTTGATATTTCTTCGAGACCTTAAAAATAAACACATTTTATTTCTTTATTTCTAAACGCGGAAATGGTTAACTGTGTGGAGACAACTTATTTGACCTCTTCTACTATCTCTTTAAAATCAATTTAAATTCATTTCATCTTAACTGTTGCATATATTGCAATCCTTGCTTATTTTGTTTACAAATCAGTCAAGACATTTAAATATTTGTGAATTTGTTTCATTAAATCTATTCTTTACCAAGTTGTGAGGTTTCACTAGGTGTTGCTGTAGGCTGCATGGTTGTGGCACTTGATGGAACTGGGAAAAAGACAAAGAAAGTACAATTTCCTGCATAATACAAAACTATATATAAACCTGATCAACATCTGAATTTTACAGTATTGCATTCCGCGCTAAATACATTTCTAAAACACATGTAAGTTGACTTTTGAAGCAACAGTGTTTTGTCAGAACACACTCTTTCCCTAAAAATGACAAACTCTCTTTGCAGTTGATTGTAAATAGTAAATACATTTCAATCAACAGACCAAATTGCCAATTTGAGTTTTGCGAAAACTGGCAAATTAAACGTTTAGTCAAAGCTTACCCAAAAAATGAGAGAAAAACAAAAATATTAATAGGCTCTCATATATATATCACATCGACAGAGCAAAAGTTAAAACCCTATGCTATTATTGCAAGGCACAACATATTTTAAGAGACCAAAAATATTAAAAAATAAAAAACTATTGTAATAATTTTGTTTTCAACACATAAATGGTAAGCTGTGTGGAGACAGCTTATTTGACCTCTTCTACAATCTCTGTAACTCAATTCAAATTCATTATATCCTTACCAAAATCATGTAATGCCATCCTTGCTTAATTCATTTTTGTTTAACTAATCGGTCAAGACAACAATATTTGGGAATTTGTTTCATTAAACCTATTTCTTTACCAAGTTGTGAGGATTCACTAGATGTTGCTGTAGGCTGCATGGTTGTGGCACTTGATGGAACTGGTAAAGAGACAAAGAAAGTAACATTTTCTGCATAATACAAAACTATATATAAACCTGATCAACATCTGAATGTTGCAGTATTGCATTCCACGATAAATACATTTCTAAAACTCATGTAAGTTGACTTTTGAAGCAACAGTGTTTTGTCAGAACACACTCTTTCCCTAAAAATGACAAACTCTCTTTGCAGTTGATTGTAAATAGTAAATACATTTCAATCAACAGACCAAATTGCCAATTTGAGTTTTGCGAAAACTGGCAAATTAAACGTTTAGTCAAAGCTTACCAAAAAATGAGAGAAAAACAAAAATATTAATAGGCTCTTATATAAATATCACATCGACAGAGCAAAAGTTAAAACCCTATGCTATTATTGCAAGGCACAACAGATTTTAAGAGACCAAAAATATTTAAAAATAAAAAACTATTGTAATAATTTTATTTTCAACACATAAATGGTAAGCTGTGTGGAGACAGCTTAAATGACCTCTTCTACAATCTCTGTAATTAAATTCAAATTCATTATATCCTTACCAAAATCATGTAATGCCATCCTTGCTTAATTCATTTTTGTTTAACTAATCGGTCAAGACAACAATATTTGGGAATTTGTTTCATTAAACCTATTTCTTTACCAAGTTGTGAGGATTCACTAGATGTTGCTGTAGGCTGCATGGTTGTGGCACTTGATGGAACTGGTAAAGAGACAAAGAAAGTAACATTTTCTGCATAATACAAAACTATATATAAACCTGATCAACATCTGAATGTTGCAGTATTGCATTCCACGATAAATACATTTCTAAAACACATGTAAGTTGACTTTTGAAGCAACAGTGTTTTGTCAGAACACACTCTTTCCCTAAAAATGACAAACTCTCTTTGCAGTTGATTGTAAATAGTAAATACATTTCAATCAACAGACCAAATTGCCAATTCGAGTTTTGCGAAAACTGGCAAATTAAACGTTTAGTCAAAGCTAACCAAAAAAATGAGAGAAAAACAAAAATATTAATAGGCTCTCATATATATATCACATCGACAGAGCAAAAGTTAAAACCCTATGCTATTATTGCAAGGCACAACAGATTTTAAGAGACCAAAAATATTAAAAAATAAAAAACTATTGTAATAATTTTTTTTCAACACATAAATGGTAAGCTGTGTGGAGACAGCTTATTTGACCTCTTCTACAATCTCTTTAAACTCAATTCAAACTCATTATATCCTTACCAAAATCATGTAATGCCATCCTTGCTTAATTCATTTTTGTTTAACTAATCGGTCAAGACAACAATATTTGGGAATTTGTTTCATTAAACCTATTTCTTTACCAAGTTGTGAGGATTCACTAGATGTTGCTGTAGGCTGCATGGTTGTGGCACTTGATGGAACTGGTAAAAAGACAAAGAAAGTAACATTTTCTGCATAATACAAAACTATATATAAACCTGATCAACATCTGAATGTTGCAGTATTGCAATCCACGATAAATACATTTCTAAAACACATGTAAGTTGACTTTTGAAGCAACAGTGTTTTGTCAGAACACACTCACCCTAAAAATGACAAACTCTCTTTGCAGTTGATTGTAAATAGTAAATACTTTTCAATCAACAGACCAAATTGCAAATTTGAGTTTTGCGAAAACTAGCAAATTAAACGTTTAGTCAAAGCTAACCAAAAAAATGAGAGAAAAACAAAAATATTAATAGGCTCTCATATATATATCACATCGACAGAGCAAAAGTTAAAACCCTATGCTATTATTGCAAGGCACAACCGATTTTAAGAGACCAAAAATATTAAAAAATAAAAAACTATTGTAATAATTTTGTTTCAACACATAAATGGTAAGCTGTGTGGAGACAGCTTATTTGACCTCTTGTACAATCTCTGTAACTCAATTCAAATTCATTATATCCTTACCAAAATCAAGTAATGCCATCCTTGCTTAATTCATTTTTGTTTAACTAATCGGTCAAGACAACAATATTTGGGAATGTGTTTCATTAAACCTATTTCTTTACCAAGTTGTGAGGTTTCACTAGATGTTGCTGTAGGCTGCATGGTTGTGGCACTTGATGGAACTGGTAAAGAGACAAAGAAAGTAACATTTTCTGCATAATACAAAACTATATATAAACCTGATCAACATCTGAATGTTGCAGTATTGCATTCCACGATACATACATTTCTAAAACACATGTAAGTTGACTTTTAAAGCAACAGTGTTTTGTCAGAACACACTCTTTCTCTAAAAATGACAAACTCTCTTTGCAGTTGATTGTAAATAGTAAATACATTTCAATCAACAGACCAAATTGCCAATTTGAGTTTTGCGAAAACTGGCAAATTAAACGTTTAGTCAAAGCTTACCAAAAACAAGATGAGATTAAAACAAAAATATTAATAGGCTCTCATATATATCACATCGACAAAGCAAAAGTTAAAACCCTATGCTATTATTGCAAGGCACAACAGATTTTAAGAGACAAAAACATATTTAAAAATAAAAAACTATTGTAATAATTTTTTTTTCAACACATAAATGGTAAGCTGTGTGGAGACAGCTTATTTGACCTCTTCTACAATCTCTGTAACTTAATTCAAATTCATTATATCCTTACCAAAATCAAGTAATGCCATCCTTGCTTAATTCATTTTTGTTTAACTAATCGGTCAAGACAACAATATTTGGGAATTTGTTTCATTAAACCTATTTCTTTACCAAGTTGTGAGGATTCACTAGATGTTGCTGTAGGCTGCATGGTTGTGGCACTTGATGGAACTGGTAAAGAGACAAAGAAAGTAACATTTTCTGCATAATACAAAACTATATATAAACCTGATCAACATCTGAATGTTGCAGTATTGCATTCCACGATAAATACATTTCTAAAACACATGTAAGTTGACTTTTGAAGCAACAGTGTTTTGTCAGAACACACTCTTTCCCTAAAAATGACAAACTCTCTTTGCAGTTGATTGTAAATAGTAAATACTTTTCAATCAACAGACCAAATTGCCAATTCGAGTTTTGCGAAAACTGGCAAATTAAACGTTTAGTCAAAGCTAACCAAAAAAATGAGAGAAAAACAAAAATATTAATAGGCTCTCATATATATATCACATCGACAGAGCAAAAGTTAAAACCCTATGCTATTATTGCAAGGCACAACAGATTTTAAGAGACCAAAAATATTAAAAAATAAAAAACTATTGTAATAATTTTTTTTCAACACATAAATGGTAAGCTGTGTGGAGACAGCTTATTTGACCTCTTCTACAATCTCTGTAACTCAATTCAAATTCATTATATCCTTACCAAAATCATGTAATGCCATCCTTGCTTAATTCATTTTTGTTTAACTAATCGGTCAAGACAACAATATTTGGGAATTTGTTTCATTAAACCTATTTCTTTACCAAGTTGTGAGGATTCACTAGATGTTGCTGTAGGCTGCATGGTTGTGGCACTTGATGGAACTGGTAAAAAGACAAAGAAAGTAACATTTTCTGCATAATACAAAACTATATATAAACCTGATCAACATCTGAATGTTGCAGTATTGCAATCCACGATAAATACATTTCTAAAACACATGTAAGTTGACTTTTGAAGCAACAGTGTTTTGTCAGAACACACTCACCCTAAAAATGACAAACTCTCTTTGCAGTTGATTGTAAATAGTAAATACTTTTCAATCAACAGACCAAATTGCCAATTTGAGTTTTGCGAAAACTGGCAAATTAAACGTTTAGTCAAAGCTAACCAAAAAAATGAGAGAAAAACAAAAATATTAATAGGCTCTCATATATATATCACATCGACAGAGCAAAAGTTAAAACCCTATGCTATTATTGCAAGGCACAACAGATTTTAAGAGACCAAAAATATTAAAAAATAAAAAACTATTGTAATAATTTTGTTTCAACACATAAATGGTAAGCTGTGTGGAGACAGCTTATTTGACCTCTTCTACAATCTCTGTAACTCAATTCAAATTCATTATATCCTTACCAAAATCATGTAATGCCATCCTTGCTTAATTCATGTTTGTTTAACTAATCGGTCAAGACAACAATATTTGGGAATTTGTTTCATTAAACCTATTTCTTTACCAAGTTGTGAGGATTCACTAGATGTTGCTGTAGGCTGCATGGTTGGGGCACTTGATGGAACTGGTAAAGCGACAAAGAAAGTAACATTTTCTGCATAATACAAAACTATATATAAACCTGATCAACATCTGAATGTTGCAGTATTGCATTCCACGATACATACATTTCTAAAACACATGTAAGTTGACTTTTAAAGCAACAGTGTTTTGTCAGAACACACTCTTTCCCTAAAAATGACAAACTCTCTTTGCAGTTGATTGTAAATAGTAAATACATTTCAATCAACAGACCAAATTGCCAATTTGAGTTTTGCGAAAACTGGCAAATTAAACGTTTAGTCAAAGCTTACCAAAAACAAGATGAGATTAAAACAAAAATATTAATAGGCTCTCATATATATCACATCGACAAAGCAAAAGTTAAAACCCTATGCTATTATTGCAAGGCACAACAGATTTTAAGAGACAAAAACATATTTAAAAATAAAAAACTATTGTAATAATTTTTTTTTCAACACATAAATGGTAAGCTGTGTGGAGACAGCTTATTTGACCTCTTCTACAATCTCTGTAACTCAATTCAAATTCATTATATCCTTACCAAAATCAAGTAATGCCATCCTTGCTTAATTCATTTTTGTTTAACTAATCGGTCAAGACAACAATATTTGGGAATGTGTTTCATTAAACCTATTTCTTTACCAAGTTGTGAGGTTTCACTAGATGTTGCTGTAGGCTGCATGGTTGTGGCACTTGATGGAACTGGTAAAGAGACAAAGAAAGTAACATTTTCTGCATAATACAAAACTATATATAAACCTGATCAACATCTGAATGTTGCAGTATTGTGATCCACGATAAATACATTTCTATAATACATGGAAGTTCACTTTTGAAGCAAGATTATTTGTCAGGACAAGCCCCTTCCTTGAAAATATCAAAGCTCTTTGAAGTTGATTGTAAATAGAGAAGGAAAACATGAAGATGTGCAGATATGTGGTCGCAAATTGTCAGCAACTGACAGTGGAAGCCAGGTAGGTGGGTAAATAGTGAAAACATCACAATCCACCAACTAAATTGCCACTTTGAGGTTTGCATAGACTTGGTGATCTCATATTTCAAACACTTACAATTTTCTTAATATTTGTCCAATGCTTTCACACAAATAATATAAAGTCCAGTCGTCAAATTGCCTCTTTAACTTTTGCTGTGCAACGGGTTTTTAATGAATTTCAAGATCTTACTAAGACACAAACAATGCTTCCTAGATAAACTCATGAATGGTGGTGTTACCATAGCTTGCGTGTGACCTAAGTTTGCTATCTCAAAAAATTATTCCAAGCACATATTGTTGGCTGAGACAAAATTTATCAAGAAAATATAAGATACAAAACATAAACAATGGATATAACTAGGCTCTGTTATATATGACATAGGCTGAGCAATATACATATCCTTTGATATTTCTTCGAGACCTTAAAAAAACACACATTTTATTTCTTTATTTTACTAAACGCGGAAATGGTAAACTGTGTGGAAACAACTTGTTTGATCTCTTCTACTATTTCTATGAAATCAATTTAAATTCATTACATCTTTACTGTTGCATATATTGCAATCCATGCCTATTTTTTTAACAAATCAGTCAAGACATTAATATTTGTGAATTTGTTTCATTAAACCTATTCTTTACCAAGTTGTGAGGTTTCACTAGGTGTTGCTGTAGGCTGCATGGTTGTGGCACTTGATGGAACTGGAAAAGAGACAAAGAAAGTAACATTTTCTGCATAATACAAAACTATATGTATCAACCTGATCAACATCTGAATTTCACAGTATTGCATTCCGCGCTAAATACATTTCTAAAACACATGTAAGTTGACTTTTGAAGCAACAGTGTTTTGTCAGAACACACTCTTTCCCTAAAAAAATGACAAACTCTCTTTGCAGTTGATTGTAAATAGTAAATACATTTCAATCAACAGACCAAATTGCCAATTTGAGTTTTGCGAAAACTGGCAAATTAAACGTTTAGTCAAAGCTTACCAAAAAAATGTGAGAAAAACAAAAATATTAATAGGCTCTCATATATATCAGATCGAAAGAGCAAAAGTTAAAACCCTATGCTATTATAGCAAGGCACAACAGATTTTAAGAGACAAAAAAATATTTTAAAATAAAAAAAATTTGTAATAATTTTTTTTTGTCAACGCATAAATGGTAAGCTGTGTGGAGACAGCTTGTTTGACCTCTTCTACAATCTCTGTAACTCAATTCAAATTCATTATATCCTTACCAAAATCAAGTAATGCCATCCTTGCTTAATTCATTTTTGTTTAACTAATCGGTCAAGACAACAATATTTGGGAATTTGTTTCATTAAACCTATTTCTTTACCAAGTTGTGAGGTTTCACTAGATGTTGCTGTAGGCTGCATGGTTGTGGCACTTGATGGAACTGGAAAAGAGACAAAGAAAGTAACATTTTCTGCATAATACAAAACTATATATTAACCTGATCAACATCTGAATGTTGCAGTATTGCAATCCACGATAAATACATTTCTAAAACACATGTAAGTTGACTTTTGAAGCAACAGTGTTTTGTCAGAACACACTCTTTCCCTAAAAATGACAAACTCTCTTTGCAGTTGATTGTAAATAGTAAATACATTTCAATCAACAGACCAAATTGCCAATTTGAGTTTTGCGAAAACTGGCAAATTAAACGTTTAGTCAAAGCTTACCAAAAAAATGAGAGAAAAACAAAAATATTAATAGGCTCTCATATATATCACATCGAAAGAGCAAAAGTTAAAACCCTATGCTATTATAGCAAGGCACAACAGATTTTAAGAGACCAAAAATATTAAAAAATAAAAAACTATTGTAATAATTTTTTTTCAACACATAAATGGTAAGCTGTGTGGAGACAGCTTATTTGACCTCTTCTACAATCTCTGTAACTCAATTCAAATTCATTATATCCTTACCAAAATCATGTAATGCCATCCTTGCTTAATTCATTTTTGTTTAACTAATCGGTCAAGACAACAATATTTGGGAATTTGTTTCATTAAACCTATTTCTTTACCAAGTTGTGAGGATTCACTAGATGTTGCTGTAGGCTGCATGGTTGTGGCACTTGATGGAACTGGTAAAAAGACAAAGAAAGTAACATTTTCTGCATAATACAAAACTATATATAAACCTGATCAACATCTGAATGTTGCAGTATTGCAATCCACGATAAATACATTTCTAAAACACATGTAAGTTGACTTTTGAAGCAACAGTGTTTTGTCAGAACACACTCACCCTAAAAATGACAAACTCTCTTTGCAGTTGATTGTAAATAGTAAATACTTTTCAATCAACAGACCAAATTGCCAATTTGAGTTTTGCGAAAACTGGCAAATTAAACGTTTAGTCAAAGCTAACCAAAAAAATGAGAGAAAAACAAAAATATTAATAGGCTCTCATATATATATCACATCGACAGAGCAAAAGTTAAAACCCTATGCTATTATTGCAAGGCACAACAGATTTTAAGAGACCAAAAATATTAAAAAATAAAAAACTATTGTAATAATTTTGTTTCAACACATAAATGGTAAGCTGTGTGGAGACAGCTTATTTGACCTCTTCTACAATCTCTGTAACTCAATTCAAATTCATTATATCCTTACCAAAATCATGTAATGCCATCCTTGCTTAATTCATGTTTGTTTAACTAATCGGTCAAGACAACAATATTTGGGAATTTGTTTCATTAAACCTATTTCTTTACCAAGTTGTGAGGATTCACTAGATGTTGCTGTAGGCTGCATGGTTGGGGCACTTGATGGAACTGGTAAAGCGACAAAGAAAGTAACATTTTCTGCATAATACAAAACTATATATAAACCTGATCAACATCTGAATGTTGCAGTATTGCATTCCACGATACATACATTTCTAAAACACATGTAAGTTGACTTTTAAAGCAACAGTGTTTTGTCAGAACACACTCTTTCCCTAAAAATGACAAACTCTCTTTGCAGTTGATTGTAAATAGTAAATACATTTCAATCAACAGACCAAATTGCCAATTTGAGTTTTGCGAAAACTGGCAAATTAAACGTTTAGTCAAAGCTTACCAAAAACAAGATGAGATTAAAACAAAAATATTAATAGGCTCTCATATATATCACATCGACAAAGCAAAAGTTAAAACCCTATGCTATTATTGCAAGGCACAACAGATTTTAAGAGACAAAAACATATTTAAAAATAAAAAACTATTGTAATAATTTTTTTTTCAACACATAAATGGTAAGCTGTGTGGAGACAGCTTATTTGACCTCTTCTACAATCTCTGTAACTCAATTCAAATTCATTATATCCTTACCAAAATCAAGTAATGCCATCCTTGCTTAATTCATTTTTGTTTAACTAATCGGTCAAGACAACAATATTTGGGAATGTGTTTCATTAAACCTATTTCTTTACCAAGTTGTGAGGTTTCACTAGATGTTGCTGTAGGCTGCATGGTTGTGGCACTTGATGGAACTGGTAAAGAGACAAAGAAAGTAACATTTTCTGCATAATACAAAACTATATATAAACCTGATCAACATCTGAATGTTGCAGTATTGTGATCCACGATAAATACATTTCTATAATACATGGAAGTTCACTTTTGAAGCAAGATTATTTGTCAGGACAAGCCCCTTCCTTGAAAATATCAAAGCTCTTTGAAGTTGATTGTAAATAGAGAAGGAAAACATGAAGATGTGCAGATATGTGGTCGCAAATTGTCAGCAACTGACAGTGGAAGCCAGGTAGGTGGGTAAATAGTGAAAACATCACAATCCACCAACTAAATTGCCACTTTGAGGTTTGCATAGACTTGGTGATCTCATATTTCAAACACTTACAATTTTCTTAATATTTGTCCAATGCTTTCACACAAATAATATAAAGTCCAGTCGTCAAATTGCCTCTTTAACTTTTGCTGTGCAACGGGTTTTTAATGAATTTCAAGATCTTACTAAGACACAAACAATGCTTCCTAGATAAACTCATGAATGGTGGTGTTACCATAGCTTGCGTGTGACCTAAGTTTGCTATCTCAAAAAATTATTCCAAGCACATATTGTTGGCTGAGACAAAATTTATCAAGAAAATATAAGATACAAAACATAAACAATGGATATAACTAGGCTCTGTTATATATGACATAGGCTGAGCAATATACATATCCTTTGATATTTCTTCGAGACCTTAAAAAAACACACATTTTATTTCTTTATTTTACTAAACGCGGAAATGGTAAACTGTGTGGAAACAACTTGTTTGATCTCTTCTACTATTTCTATGAAATCAATTTAAATTCATTACATCTTTACTGTTGCATATATTGCAATCCATGCCTATTTTTTTAACAAATCAGTCAAGACATTAATATTTGTGAATTTGTTTCATTAAACCTATTCTTTACCAAGTTGTGAGGTTTCACTAGGTGTTGCTGTAGGCTGCATGGTTGTGGCACTTGATGGAACTGGAAAAGAGACAAAGAAAGTAACATTTTCTGCATAATACAAAACTATATGTATCAACCTGATCAACATCTGAATTTCACAGTATTGCATTCCGCGCTAAATACATTTCTAAAACACATGTAAGTTGACTTTTGAAGCAACAGTGTTTTGTCAGAACACACTCTTTCCCTAAAAAAATGACAAACTCTCTTTGCAGTTGATTGTAAATAGTAAATACATTTCAATCAACAGACCAAATTGCCAATTTGAGTTTTGCGAAAACTGGCAAATTAAACGTTTAGTCAAAGCTTACCAAAAAAATGTGAGAAAAACAAAAATATTAATAGGCTCTCATATATATCAGATCGAAAGAGCAAAAGTTAAAACCCTATGCTATTATAGCAAGGCACAACAGATTTTAAGAGACAAAAAAATATTTTAAAATAAAAAAATTTGTAATAATTTTTTTTTGTCAACGCATAAATGGTAAGCTGTGTGGAGACAGCTTGTTTGACCTCTTCTACAATCTCTGTAACTCAATTCAAATTCATTATATCCTTACCAAAATCAAGTAATGCCATCCTTGCTTAATTCATTTTTGTTTAACTAATCGGTCAAGACAACAATATTTGGGAATTTGTTTCATTAAACCTATTTCTTTACCAAGTTGTGAGGTTTCACTAGATGTTGCTGTAGGCTGCATGGTTGTGGCACTTGATGGAACTGGAAAAGAGACAAAGAAAGTAACATTTTCTGCATAATACAAAACTATATATTAACCTGATCAACATCTGAATGTTGCAGTATTGCAATCCACGATAAATACATTTCTAAAACACATGTAAGTTGACTTTTGAAGCAACAGTGTTTTGTCAGAACACACTCTTTCCCTAAAAATGACAAACTCTCTTTGCAGTTGATTGTAAATAGTAAATACATTTCAATCAACAGACCAAATTGCCAATTTGAGTTTTGCGAAAACTGGCAAATTAAACGTTTAGTCAAAGCTTACCAAAAAAATGAGAGAAAAACAAAAATATTAATAGGCTCTCATATATATCACATCGAAAGAGCAAAAGTTAAAACCCTATGCTATTATAGCAAGGCACAACAGATTTTAAGAGACAAAAAAATATTTAAAAATAAAAAACTATTGTAATAATTTTTTTCAAGACATAAATGGTAAGCTGTGTGGAGACAGCTTATTTGACCTCTTCTACAATCTCTGTAACTCAATTCAAATTCATTATATCCTTACCAAAATCAAGTAATGCCATCCTTGCTTAATTCATTTTTGTTTAACTAATCGGTCAACACAACAATATTTGGGAATTTGTTTCATTAAACCTATTTCTTTACCAAGTTGTGAGGATTCACTAGATGTTGCTGTAGGCTGCATGGTTGTGGCACTTGATGGAACTGGTAAAGAGACAAAGAAAGTAACATTTTCTGCATAAAACAAAACTATATATTAACCTGATGAACATCTGAATGTTGCAGTATTGCAATCCACGATAAATACATTTCTAAAACACATGTAAGTTGACTTTTGAAGCAACAGTGTTTTGTCAGAACACACTCTTTCCCTAAAAATGACAAACTCTCTTTGCAGTTGATTGCAAATAGTAAATACATTTCAATCAACAGACCAAATTGCCAATTTGAGTTTTGCGAAAACTGGCAAATTAAACGTTTAGTCAAAGCTTACCAAAAACAAGATGAGATTAAAACAAAAATATTAATAGGCTCTCATATATATCACATCGACAGAGCAAAAGTTAAAACCCTATGCTATTATTGCAAGGCACAACAGATTTTAAGAGACGAACAAATATTTAAAAATAAAAAACTATTGTAATAATTTTTTTTTCAACACATAAATGGTAAGCTGTGTGGAGACAGCTTAAATGACCTCTTCTACAATCTCTGTAATTAAATTCAAATTCATTATATCCTTACCAAAATCATGTAATGCCATCCTTGCTTAATTCATTTTTGTTTAACTAATCGGTCAAGACAACAATATTTGGGAATTTGTTTCATTAAACCTATTTCTTTACCAAGTTGTGAGGATTCACTAGATGTTGCTGTAGGCTGCATGGTTGTGGCACTTGATGGAACTGGTAAAGAGACAAAGAAAGTAACATTTTCTGCATAATACAAAACTATATATAAACCTGATCAACATCTGAATGTTGCAGTATTGCATTCCACGATAAATACATTTCTAAAACACATGTAAGTTGACTTTTGAAGCAACAGTGTTTTGTCAGAACACACTCTTTCCCTAAAAATGACAAACTCTCTTTGCAGTTGATTGTAAATAGTAAATACTTTTCAATCAACAGACCAAATTGCCAATTCGAGTTTTGCGAAAACTGGCAAATTAAACGTTTAGTCAAAGCTAACCAAAAAAATGAGAGAAAAACAAAAATATTAATAGGCTCTCATATATATATCACATCGACAGAGCAAAAGTTAAAACCCTATGCTATTATTGCAAGGCACAACAGATTTTAAGAGACCAAAAATATTAAAAAATAAAAAACTATTGTAATAATTTTTTTTCAACACATAAATGGTAAGCTGTGTGGAGACAGCTTATTTGACCTCTTCTACAATCTCTGTAACTCAATTCAAATGCATTATATACTTACCAAAATCATGTAATGCCATCCTTGCTTAATTCATTTTTGTTTAACTAATCGGTCAAGACAACAATATTTGGGAATTTGTTTCATTAAACCTATTTCTTTACCAAGTTGTGAGGATTCACTAGATGTTGCTGTAGGCTGCATGGTTGTGGCACTTGATGGAACTGGTAAAAAGACAAAGAAAGTAACATTTTCTGCATAATACAAAACTATATATAAACCTGATCAACATCTGAATGTTGCAGTATTGCAATCCACGATAAATACATTTCTAAAACACATGTAAGTTGACTTTTGAAGCAACAGTGTTTTGTCAGAACACACTCACCCTAAAAATGACAAACTCTCTTTGCAGTTGATTGTAAATAGTAAATACTTTTCAATCAACAGACCAAATTGCCAATTTGAGTTTTGCGAAAACTGGCAAATTAAACGTTTAGTCAAAGCTAACCAAATAAATGAGAGAAAAACAAAAATATTAATAGGCTCTCATATATATATCACATCGACAGAGCAAAAGTTAAAACCCTATGCTATTATTGCAAGGCACAACAGATTTTAAGAGACCAAAAATATTAAAAAATAAAAAACTATTGTAATAATTTTGTTTCAACACATAAATGGTAAGCTGTGTGGAGACAGCTTATTTGACCTCTTCTACAATCTCTGTAACTCAATTCAAATTCATTATATCCTTACCAAAATCATGTAATGCCATCCTTGCTTAATTCATTTTTGTTTAACTAATCGGTCAAGACAACAATATTTGGGAATTTGTTTCATTAAACCTATTTCTTTACCAAGTTGTGAGGATTCACTAGATGTTGCTGTAGGCTGCATGGTTGGGGCACTTGATGGAACTGGTAAAGCGACAAAGAAAGTAACATTTTCTGCATAATACAAAACTATATATAAACCTGATCAACATCTGAATGTTGCAGTATTGCATTCCACGATACATACATTTCTAAAACACATGTAAGTTGACTTTTAAAGCAACAGTGTTTTGTCAGAACACACTCTTTCCCTAAAAATGACAAACTCTCTTCGCAGTTGATTGTAAATAGTAAATACATTTCAATCAACAGACCAAATTGCCAATTTGAGTTTTGCGAAAACTGGCAAATTAAACGTTTAGTCAAAGCTTACCAAAAACAAGATGAGATTAAAACAAAAATATTAATAGGCTCTCATATATATCACATCGACAAAGCAAAAGTTAAAACCCTATGCTATTATTGCAAGGCACAACAGATTTTAAGAGACAAAAACATATTTAAAAATAAAAAACTATTGTAATAATTTTTTTTTCAACACATAAATGGTAAGCTGTGTGGAGACAGCTTATTTGACCTCTTCTACAATCTCTGTAACTCAATTCAAATTCATTATATCCTTACCAAAATCAAGTAATGCCATCCTTGCTTAATTCATTTTTGTTTAACTAATCGGTCAAGACAACAATATTTGGGAATGTGTTTCATTAAACCTATTTCTTTACCAAGTTGTGAGGTTTCACTAGATGTTGCTGTAGGCTGCATGGTTGTGGCACTTGATGGAACTGGTAAAGAGACAAAGAAAGTAACATTTTCTGCATAATACAAAACTATATATAAACCTGATCAACATCTGAATGTTGCAGTATTGTGATCCACGATAAATACATTTCTATAATACATGGAAGTTCACTTTTGAAGCAAGATTATTTGTCAGGACAAGCCCCTTCCTTGAAAATATCAAAGCTCTTTGAAGTTGATTGTAAATAGAGAAGGAAAACATGAAGATGTGCAGATATGTGGTCGCAAATTGTCAGCATCTGACAGTGGAAGCCAGGTAGGTGGGTAAATAGTGAAAACATCACAATCCACCAACTAAATTGCCACTTTGAGGTTTGCATAGACTTGGTGATCTCATATTTCAAACACTTACAAATTTCTTAATATTTGTCCAATGCTTTCACACAAATAATATAAAGTCCAGTCGTCAAATTGCCTCTTTAACTTTTGCTGTGCAACGGGTTTTTAATGAATTTCAAGATCTTACTAAGACACAAACAATGCTTCCTAGATAAACTCATGAATGGTGGTGTTACCATAGCTTGCGTGTGACCTAAGTTTGCTATCTCAAAAAATTATTCCAATCACATATTGTTGGCTGAGACAAAATTTATCAAGAAAATATAAGATACAAAACATAAACAATGGATATAACTAGGCTCTGTTATATATGACATAGGCTGAGCAATATACATATCCTTTGATATTTCTTCGAGACCTTAAAAAAACACACATTTTATTTCTTTATTTTACTAAACGCGGAAATGGTAAACTGTGTGGAAACAACTTGTTTGATCTCTTCTACTATTTCTATGAAATCAATTTAAATTCATTACATCTTTACTGTTGCATATATATTGCAATCCATGCCTATTTTTTTAACAAATCAGTCAAGACATTAATATTTGTGAATTTGTTTCATTAAACCTATTCTTTACCAAGTTGTGAGGTTTCACTAGGTGTTGCTGTAGGCTGCATGGTTGTGGCACTTGATGGAACTGGAAAAGAGACAAAGAAAGTAACATTTTCTGCATAATACAAAACTATATGTATCAACCTGATCAACATCTGAATTTCACAGTATTGCATTCCACGATAAATACATTTCTAAAACACATGTAAGTTGACTTTTGAAGCAACAGTGTTTTGTCAGAACACACTCTTTCCCTAAAAATGACAAACTCTCTTTGCAGTTGATTGTAAATAGTAAATACATTTCAATCAACAGACCAAATTGCCAATTTGAGTTTTGCGAAAACTGGCAAATTAAACGTTTAGTCAAAGCTTACCAAAAAAATGAGAGAAAAACAAAAATATTAATAGGCTCTCATATATATCAGATCGAAAGAGCAAAAGTTAAAACCCTATGCTATTATAGCAAGGCACAACAGATTTTAAGAGACAAAAAAATATTTAAAAATAAAAAAATTTTGTAATAATTTTTTTTTGTCAACGCATAAATGGTAAGCTGTGTGGAGACAGCTTGTTTGACCTCTTCTACAATCTCTGTAAATCAATTCAAATTCATTATATCCTTACCAAAATCAAGTAATGCCATCCTTGCTTAATTCATTTTTGTTTAACTAATCGGTCAAGACAACAATATTTGGGAATTTGTTTCATTAAACCTATTTCTTTACCAAGTTGTGAGGTTTCACTAGATGTTGCTGTAGGCTGCATGGTTGTGGCACTTGATGGAACTGGAAAAGAGACAAAGAAAGTAACATTTTCTGCATAATACAAAACTATATATATATATATCAACCTGATCAACATTTGAATTTCACAGTATTGCATTTCGCGCTAAATACATTTCTAAAACACATGTAAGTTGACTTTTGAAGCAACAGTGTTTTGTCAGAACACACTCTTTCCCTAAAAATGACAAACTCTCTTTTCAGTTGATTGTAAATAGTAAATACATTTCAATCAACAGACCAAATTGCCAATTTGAGTTTTGCGAAAACTGGCAAATTAAACGTTTAGTCAAAGCTTACCAAAAAAATGAGAGAAAAACAAAAATATTAATAGGCTCTCATATATATCACATCGAAAGAGCAAAAGTTAAAACCCTATGCTATTATAGCAAGGCACAACAGATTTTAAGAGACAAAAAAATATTTAAAAATAAAAAACTATTGTAATAATTTTTTTTCAAGACATAAATGGTAAGCTGTGTGGAGACAGCTTATTTGACCTCTTCTACAATCTCTGTAACTCAATTGAAATTCATTATATCCTTACCAAAATCAAGTAATGCCATCCTTGCTTAATTCATTTTTGTTTAACTAATCGGTCAACACAACAATATTTGGGAATTTGTTTCATTAAACCTATTTCTTTACCAAGTTGTGAGGTTTCACTAGATGTTGCTGTAGGCTGCATGGTTGTGGCACTTGATGGAACTGGTAAAGAGACAAAGAAAGTAACATTTTCTGCATAAAACAAAACTATATATTAACCTGATCAACATCTGAATGTTGCAGTATTGCAATCCACGATAAATACATTTCTAAAACACATGTAAGTTGACTTTTGAAGCAACAGTGTTTTGTCAGAACACACTCTTTCCCTAAAAATGACAAACTCTCTTTGCAGTTGATTGCAAATAGTAAATACATTTCAATCAACAGACCAAATTGCCAATTTGAGTTTTGCGAAAACTGGCAAATTAAACGTTTAGTCAAAGCTTACCAAAAACAAGATGAGATTAAAACAAAAATATTAATAGGCTCTCATATATATCACATCGACAGAGCAAAAGTTAAAACCCTATGCTATTATTGCAAGGCACAACAGATTTTAAGAGACAAACAAATATTTAAAAATAAAAAACTATTGTAATAATTTTTTTTTCAACACATAAATGGTAAGCTGTGTGGAGACAGCTTATTTGACCTCTTCTTCAATCTCTGTAACTCAATTCAAACTCATTATATCCTTACCAAAATCATGTAATGCCATCCTTGCTTAATTCATTTTTGTTTAACTAATCGGTCAAGACAACAATATTTGGGAATTTGTTTCATTAAACCTATTTCTTTACCAAGTTGTGAGGATTCACTAGATGTTGCTGTAGGCTGCATGGTTGGGGCACTTGATGGAACTGGTAAAGAGACAAAGAAAGTAACATTTTCTGCATAATACAAAACTATATATAAACCTGATCAACATCTGAATGTTGCAGTATTGCATTCCACGATAAATACATTTCTAAAACACATGTAAGTTGACTTTTGAAGCAACAGTGTTTTGTCAGAACACACTCTTTCCCTTAAAATGACAAACTCTCTTTGCAGTTGATTGTAAATAGTAAATACATTTCAATCAACAGACCAAATTGCCAATTTTAGTTTTGTGAAAACTGGCAAATTAAACGTTTAGTCAAAGCTTACCAAAAACAAGATGAGATTAAAACAAAAATATTAATAGGCTCTCATATATATCAGATCGACAGAGCAAAAGTTAAAACCCTATGCTATTATTGCAAGGCACAACAGATTTTAAGAGACAAAAACATATTTAAAAATAAAAAACTATTGTAATAATTTTTTTTTCAACACATAAATGGTAAGCTGTGTGGAGACAGCTTATTTGACCTCTTCTACAATCTCTGTAACTCAATTCAAATTCATTATATCCTTACCAAAATCAAGTAATGCCATCCTTGCTTAATTCATTTTTGTTTAACTAATCGGTCAAGACAACAATATTTGGAAATTTGTTTCATTAAACCTATTTCTTTACCAAGTTGTGAGGTTTCACTAGATGTTGCTGTAGGCTGCATGGTTGTGGCACTTGATGGAACTGGTAAAGAGACAAAGAAAGTAACATTTTCTGCATAATACAAAACTATATATAAACCTGATCAACATCTGAATGTTGCAGTATTGCATTCCACGATAAATACATTTCTAAAACACATGTAAGTTGACTTTTGAAGCAACAGTGTTTTGTCAGAACACACTCTTTCCCTAAAAATGACAAACTCTCTTTGCAGTTGATTGTAAATAGAAAATACATTTCAATCAACAGACCAAATTGCCAATTTGAGTTTTGCGAAAACTGGCAAATTAAACGTTTAGTCAAAGCTTACCAAAAAAATGAGAGAAAAACAAAAATATTAATAGGCTCTCATATATATCAGATCGAAAGAGCAAAAGTTAAAACCCTATGCTATTATAGCAAGGCACAACAGATTTTAAGAGACAAACAAATATTTAAAAATAAAAAACTATTGTAATAATTTTTTTTTGTCAACGCATAAATGGTAAGCTGTGTGGAGACAGCTTGTTTGACCTCTTCTACAATCTCTGTAAATCAATTCAAATTCATTATATCCTTACCAAAATCAAGTAATGCCATCCTTGCTTAATTCATTTTTGTTTAACTAATCGGTCAAGACAACAATATTTGGGAATTTGTTTCATTAAACCTATTTCTTTACCAAGTTGTGAGGTTTCACTAGATGTTGCTGTAGGCTGCATGGTTGTGGCACTTGATGGAACTGGAAAAGAGACAAAGAAAGTAACATTTTCTGCATAATACAAAACTATATATAAACCTGATCAACATCTGAATGTTGCAGTATTGCATTCCACGATAAATACATTTCTAAAACACATGTAAGTTGACTTTTGAAGCAACAGTGTTTTGTCTGAACACACTCTTTCCCTTAAAATGACAAACTCTCTTTGCAGTTGATTGTAAATAGTAAATACATTTCAATCAACAGACCAAATTGCCAATTTGAGTTTTGTGAAAACTGGCAAATTAAACGTTTAGTCAAAGCTTACCAAAAACAAGATGAGATTAAAACAAAAATATTAATAGGCTCTCATATATATCACATCGACAGAGCAAAAGTTAAAACCCTATGCTATTATTGCAAGGCACAACAGATTTTAAGAGACAAAAACATATTTCAAAATAAAAAACTATTGTAATAATTTTTTTTTCAACACATAAATGGTAAGCTGTGTGGAGACAGCTTATTTGACCTCTTCTACAATCTCTGTAACTCAATTCAAATTCATTATATCCTTACCAAAATCAAGTAATGCCATCCTTGCTTAATTCATTTTTGTTTAACTAATCGGTCAAGACAACAATATTTGGAAATTTGTTTCATTAAACCTATTTCTTTACCAAGTTGGGAGGTTTCACTAGATGTTGCTGTAGGCTGCATGGTTGGGGCACTTGATGGAACTGGTAAAGAGACAAAGAAAGTAACATTTTCTGCATAATACAAAACTATATATAAACCTGATCAACATCTGAATGTTGCAGTATTGCATTCCACGATAAATACATTTCTAAAACACATGTAAGTTGACTTTTGAAGCAACAGTGTTTTGTCAGAACACACTCTTTCCCTAAAAATGACAAACTCTCTTTGCAGTTGATTGTAAATAGTAAATACATTTCAATCAACAGACCAAATTGCCAATTTGAGTTTTGCGAAAACTGGCAAATTAAACGTTTAGTCAAAGCTTACCAAAAAAATGAGAGAAAAACAAAAATATTAATAGGCTCTCATATATATCAGATCGAAAGAGCAAAAGTTAAAACCCTATGCTATTATAGCAAGGCACAACAGATTTTAAGAGACAAAAAAATATTTAAAAATAAAAAAATATTGTAATAATTTTTTTTTGTCAACGCATAAATGGTAAGCTGTGTGGAGACAGCTTGTTTGACCTCTTCTACAATCTCTGTAAATCAATTCAAATTCATTATATCCTTACCAAAATCAAGTAATGCCATCCTTGCTTAATTCATTTTTGTTTAACTAATCGGTCAAGACAACAATATTTGGGAATTTGTTTCATTAAACCTATTTCTTTACCAAGTTGTGAGGTTTCACTAGATGTTGCTGTAGGCTGCATGGTTGTGGCACTTGATGGAACTGGAAAAGAGACAAAGAAAGTAACATTTTCTGCATAATACAAAACTATATATATATATCAACCTGATCAACATCTGAATATTGCAGTATTGTGATCCACGATAAATACATTTCTATAATACATGGAAGTTCACTTTTGAAGCAAGATTATTTGTCAGGACAAGCCCCTTCCTTGAAAATATCAAAGCTCTTTGAAGTTGATTGTAAATAGAGAAGGAAAACATGAAGATGTGCAGATATGTGGTCGCAAATTGTCAGCAACTGACAGTGGAAGCCAGGTAGGTGGTAAATAGTGAAAACATCACAATCCACCAACTAAATTGCCAATTTGAGGTTTGCATAGACTTGGTGATCTCATATTTCAAACACTTACAATTTTCTTAATATGTGTCCAATGCTTTCACACAAATAATATAAAGTCCAGTCGTCAAATTGCGTCTTTAACTTTTGCTGTGCAACGGGTTTTTAATGAATTTCAAGATATTACTAAGACACAAACAATGCTTCCTAGATAAACTCATGAATGGTGGTGTTACCATAGCTTGCGTGTGACCTAAGTTTGCTATCTCAAAAAATTATTCCAATCACATATTGTTGGCTGAGACAAAATTTATCAAGAAAATATAAGATACAAAACATAAACAATGGATATAACTAGGCTCTGGTATATATGACATAGGCTGAGCAATATACATATCCTTTGATATTTCTTCGAGACCTTAAAAAACACACATTTTATTTCTTTATTTTACTAAACGCAGAAATAGTAAACAGTGTGGAAACAACTTGTTTGATCTCTTCTACTATTTCTATAAAATCAATTTAAATTCATTACATCTCTACTGTTGCATATATTGCAATCCTTGCTTATTTTTTCAACAAATCAGTCAAGACATTAATATTTGTGAATTTGTTTCATTAAACCTATTCTTTACCAAGTTGTGAAGTTTCACTAGGTGTTGCTGTAGGCTGCATGGTTGTGGCACTTGATGGAACTGGAAAAGAGACAAAGAAAGCACAATTTTCTGCATAATACAAAACTATATATATCAACCTGATCAACATCTGAATTTCACAGTATTGCATTCCGCGCTAAATACATTTCTAAAAACACATGTAAGTTGACTTTTGAGGCAACAGTGTTTTGTCAGAACACACTCTTTCCCTAAAAATGACAAACTCTCTTTGCAGTTGATTGTAAATAGTAAATACATTTCAATCAACAGACCAAATTGCCAATTTGAGTTTTGCGAAAACTGGCAAATTAAACGTTTAGTCAAAGCTTACCAAAAAAATGAGAGAAAAACAAAAATATTAATAGGCTCTCATATATATCACATCGACAGAGCAAAAGTTAAAACCCTATGCTATTATTGCAAGGCACAACAGATTTTAAGAGACCAAAAATATTAAAAAAATAAAAAAATATTGTAATAATTTATTTTGTTTAGTTCTGCAATCTCTGTAAATCAATTCAAATTCATTATATCCTGTAAATACCAACGCAATTAATGTCATCCTTGCTTAACTCTTATCCTGCCATGAGACTGCTAGCGCGCTATTGTTATAGTGCCATGTGCACGCGAGCGTGCTATCGATTGAAAGCCACGTTCATGCTAGCGAGCCACCGCTACGGTGCTTTGTGCGCGCTAGCGCGCAGATGTAATAACAGTTATTGTTCATGCCCATTGCACCGTGCTGAGTGCTTTTGCAGCGCTATTGAAAGTACCATCGCGTGCATCAGATTATCGGCTTTGGATTACGCGTCTTTGTATACAACAGTCAGATTGGATTTTCTCGAGTAATTCAGCGATTTTTTGGTTGTAAAGATTTAAATAACACGCACTTGAACCAACCTTAAAATTAACTTGGCACGCAGGAGATTAGCACTGTGGCACAATAGGAATTAGCACTGTGGCACTGGGTGCATTGTATGGGTGGCAGCTTAAGAGTTAATTCATTTTTGGGTACTTATTGGTCAAGAAAACAATTTTTGTGAATTTGTTTCTTTAAAATTGTAAGGCGACACTAGGTATTGTTTCAGGCTGCATGAAACTGGAAAAGGGACAAAGGAAGTACAATTTTCTACATAATACAAAACTTGGTTTTTGCATGATGGCTAGCGAGTTCTCGTTGGGAGAGTTTGTTTAATGGGGATCCGTCTATGGAATGATTACACTCGTTAACAAAAGATGAATTGTTGGTTGTAGCAACTCATGAGATTGTAGGTATCAAACGCTACATGCTGAAGTCAGATTTTTTTGGACAACGTTGTCAAGTTTCTGGTGGCAGAGGAGATTTGTTCGGTTCCCAGAATTAGATTCTTAGGCTAGGTCTTTAGTATCGGATGAAGTGAGAAAAAAAGAGCTAGAGTTGGAGAGAGAGAAAATGGTTGTCGTGAACAGAAAAAAAGAGAAATGCTAATAGGCAAATGGCAGAGGAGATTTGTTCGGTTCCCAGAATTAGATTCTTAGGCTAGGTCTTTAGTATCGGATGAAGTGAGAAAAAAAGAGCTAGAGTTGGAGAGAGAGAAAATGGTTGTCGTGAACAGAAAAAAAGAGAAATGCTAATAGGCATTTTGACATTGCAAAAAATGTCAGAATGGTCCTTCCATTCGAGGAGGAAGGAGTGGAAAAGTACTTTCCACACTGAGAAATTAGCTCAAAGCATGGGGTGGCATCCAGAAATGCGGGCTCACCTGAATACTAGTAAGCTTAGCGGTAAGGCTAGGGATGCCTACATTAATAGTGATGTCAATGACCGATGTGTCAGATGATTGTAAGGGGTTAGGAAATTACCATGTGACCTGTAGAGGGCGGAGTGCTGAGACAAGCCGGCACTCTTTGCTTGGCCCTCTCACAGGTGAGTTGACCAAACTTGAACCACTGTTATGTTTAGTAAATATTAATATTGTTATGCTAGAGATTTGTTATGTATATATGTGTATTGTGTCAGAACGATTTCAGTAGTTATTTTGATGTATCATGTGGGTTGATATGATTATATTGGAAACGAGGATTTAATGTTAAACTGTGTCATGCTTAGCGCTTCGATTTGTTATATGCATTTACATTGTAGTACATGGTTATGCACACTAATAAGTTGAACGCGCGGTATCAAAATTGGGTGCAGTGCGTGCGCGCTAATGTTGTGCCTGGTCCCAGGGCCAGGACCAGGACCAGGGTACGCTCTAAATTGATGTGATGAGTATAAGTCCTGGTTTAGGAAAGAGGTCAGTAAGAACGGAAGGGAGCATAGAAAAGAAGTGCTTATAATAGAAGTTGAGTGTTTAAAAGTATTGCATGTTGTTTGTATTTTGGTTGCTAAGCTAGGGGATATTAATTATGGCACTTTAAACAGTGAAGATCGAACTTTGTCTGACTATGTAGCCATTTCAGGGTTTCTAGCGCCCTCTATCATTGTAAACCTTATTTCTTATTTTGCAGATTGAATATTGTTACATGTTAAATTGAGATGGAATAATAGGAGTAAGAGCAATGTTTTGGGTTAGACCAAGAGATTATTGGAGTTTGTTTGGAAGTAAGAAAAGTACGGAAGATAAATATATGAATGTGTTGCTCTATATGAGGTTTATATTGACTGTTACTTCTAGTTGTTTAAGTATTTGGGTCAGGTATTTACCTGTGTTAATGTTGAGAGTTTCAGCTACATTGTACTGTGGCAATTGATTTTTAAAGGGCAAATTTACTCGTTTAATATTTGATAACATGACATGTTTTGGAGAATGCATGATCTCCATGATTATCGGCATTAGTGATTATGTAATGTGTCTGTTACTGGTTACTACTAATAAAGACTCTTTGCTTGGCCCTCTCACAGGATCTGTCTGTCGTTGATTTCGAGTTCTCGACCACCTCACAACTGGCGACGAGGATGGGATTCGAACCCAAGTGGACGGCGGCGTGTGCAACAGCAACATCATCGACGAGGGTGACAAGACCATGTCCGGAAGACCTCGCAAAGAGTCAAGTAGATATGTACGTCAAGAACTCGTATAGTTTTAGAAGGAGTGCTGTTCATTGAATAATAGTCGTGGAACGATAATAGTTAGCCTGGACACATTGAACATAATTTAGCAATGAGTGATAGAGCGACGACGATGTGCATGGCAAGGTGGTGAAAGAACATTGCTTCAAGAACTTGCTTCGAGAACTTACTTTAAGAATGTATTTTAAGTTTTAAGATAGTTGTTTTTATTAAAGATTGATATTGCTACATGTAGGTATTGCGGAAAATGTTTTTAACTGAAGTGAGTAGATGTGGTTGAAGAGTATTACTTTTATGGAAAGGTAATTAATTATTCTTGATATTGATGTTATTGGAAATTTGAGAGTCGGTCAAGTTTTGAGAATGTTTAGATTCAGTAGATTTATTTTTTTTGAAGTCGGTTTGGAACATGTGATATAGTACCTTGGTTATTGATATTGAAATCCTTCGGAAGGTGTTATAGTTTAAAGGACTAATTTCTAAGTGAATATATTTCATGATTTAAATCGAAGTTTTTGAGACTAAAATATATATTAGGAAAGTTCTTGTATGCAATTGGAACACAGCTTGTTATTTTTTTTGTTGATACTCGCCGATATGGCTTTGTACGTTAAGATTGAAGAGGGGGGAAGGAAATTAAAATTTCCTTTGATGGGTACTGATGGGCCCCTTAGCCTAGAAGCATTACAAACCAATTTCCCCAAGGCCAAGGGGCTGTTGTATTTAGACACAGACGGGATGGAGGTAGTTGTACCTGCTATCGGGGGGGAGATCCATCCAATAGGGGAGTGGGGTCATGTCTACCGGCCACTTCTCCAACCTAAAGAGGACAACAGGGATAGTGTCCAAGGACAGTTGGAAAAGTTGCTGTCCCGCCCCCCACCCCAGATTATTATGGCACCTGAAAGGAAGCTGCCCACATTTGGAGGCCGGCCAGGAGAGGTTGCAGATTTTGTCGACTCCATGAGGAGTGCTTTCGCCAAGTACGCCATTCCCGACCAACAACAAGGGGCATTCATCCTAGATTATCTCAAAGATGGACCGAAGATGGAGGTGAAGTCGCTAATTAGAGAGGGGAAAGGCATCGCAGATATCCTCTCGTACATTCAGGACTCGTATGCGGACCATGTCCCGGTGGGGGAGCTCCAACGACTATTCCTGGAGAGGAAGCAGCAAAAAGGAGAAAGCGTCAGAGATTTCGCGTTGGACCTTGAAAACCGTTTTCTCCGCCTCACGAGCTGGAGTGGCCGACTATATTCGGAACCAGAAGCCATCCTAGCAGAGCAGTTTATTGAGGGAATCGGCGACCGATATCTTAGGAACACCCTCCAAGATAGATATGAGGGGGGAACAACAGTTCAATTCCGGGAACTCAGGGAGGTTGCCATTAGGAGGGAGCAGCGGGAGGATGTCCGTTTCAAGAGTTCCACAGGAACAGTGCACCAGACGGCCCTCCAGTCACAGCTACATGTACAAACACAGACGAACCGGCCAGATGTAGTAGAGATGATGCGGGCAGTAAAGGAACTGGCCGATCGAGTCGTCGGAGCAGTTAGCGACCTAGCAACATCGCTGAAACCACCCTTGACTCGCAATGCAGAGAATGTACAATGCTTCAATTGTAGCGGTTGGGGACATTATGCTCGGGAATGTCCACATAAGAGACAAGGACTTCAAGATACCAGGACTCGTCAAGACAGGGAACAGGGCCCCCAGTATACAAAGCAATATAGACGTTGGGCACCGAGAGGGGGACCATCTGCACCGCCACCGTTTCCCCATCCCGATGGGTGGGCATCTCATCCTGGGCAACCTTATGGGCAACCACCTGGCGGCTGGGTACAGCAGACCGGACCCTTACCAGTACCTTTGCCCAACCCGGGGGTATGGATGCCGCCACCAGAAGGACCACCAATTGCCCCATCTTCAATCCCTGTGGAACAGACGCCACGAAACGAAACAGCCCGTCTCAGACATGAGGGAAGTGTTGCGATATCTGCACGTCAGACAGTGGTGCTTGAAGATCAGGAGGCATCCCCCATCGTAATCCGCAATAAGGAAGATGAGATTGTGATCCCAAAGGCTGTCCAACTGGGTGCCCTTTGCGGCAGAGCGTCAGTCGTGCGAGAGACGGAGCAAGATGAACTGTCAGTCGAGAATCATGAGAATCCGGTCGATGTGGACTGGACGAGTTTGTATCTTGGAGAACGCACAGATCTAGAGGGTCTTCCGGAGAAACATCGCGAAGTGTTTTCGGCTCGTGGTCAGTATGAGCGCCTGAACCACACTCGGCAAAACATGCTGGGATCTCTGCCTGAGAGCAAGAAGCGACGCTGGAATCGTTACCTGCCCTCTTTTGTATATGCCTACAACAGCACTGTCCAGGCGAGTACTGGTGTTGAACCCTTCGACTTGATGTCCGGGAGAAATGGAAGGCTTCCCCATGGTCTGGTCCTAAGTGGGGAAGGACAACCAGGGCGTCAGAGAAACGCCAAGTCGTATGTCCAGCAACATCAGTCAGAACTACGAACTGCTAGGCCGATAACAAGGGCCCCTGATTGAATTTTAGTCATTTTGCTATATTTTGGTCTTATAGTTTTGATTGATAGCGTTATAGAGGATTATGTTTTTGTTTAGAGACAGGATATGACTTTTAGCAACAAATTTTATTTTTGGTTTTTGATATTTACAAAGAAGAAAGATATGCGATAAGATATTGCATACGATTTTTGTATATCATGTACACATGCCTTTTTATGTACTTGTTAAGCTTGTTTTGGGGTCTGGTATGGATCCGTCCAGCATTGGGTCACCCCATTCATTTTTATTGAGGTTCAATTATACTTAATTACCGCTTGTGATACGTGTTTGACATTTGAACATGAAGCGCTGATTTATAGACATTGTGTGCGAATTTAGTGGCGATAGATAACATGATTAGTGCATTCCTGTTTGAGTTGTGGGTTGGGAGATAACTTTTTGGTGAGACGGTTTATGCTGGGTTTGACGTCTCGACGCTAGTAACAGTCAGTTAATTAGCCATGTTGGGATGTCTTTATATTTGTATATATGTACGTATACTGTGTTTTTGCGAGCTTGCACAATGGCACTTAAAGGGACCGCTCTGTAGTGGAAAGATACAGGTAATGATGCAGTTTAATATAGGTGCATGTTATGTCGCCACGTGCTACCTTAGTGGCAAGGTTATTATGTGTTATACGTTTGTTGGTAGTTGATGGTTTGAATATTGTTCCTTCGGTCATCGAGGGCGATGACGTTTTAAGTGGGGAAGGATGTAAGGGGTTAGGAAATTACCATGTGACCTGTAGAGGGCGGAGTGCTGAGACAAGCCGGCACTCTTTGCTTGGCCCTCTCACAGGTGAGTTGACCAAACTTGAACCACTGTTATGTTTAGTAAATATTAATATTGTTATGCTAGAGATTTGTTATGTATATATGTGTATTGTGTCAGAACGATTTCAGTAGTTATTTTGATGTATCATGTGGGTTGATATGATTATATTGGAAACGAGGATTTAATGTTAAACTGTGTCATGCTTAGCGCTTTGATTTGTTATATGCATTTACATTGTAGTACATGGTTATGCACACTAATAAGTTGAACGCGCGGTATCAAAATTGGGTGCAGTGCGTGCGCGCTAATGTTGTGCCTGGTCCCAGGGCCAGGACCAGGACCAGGGTACGCTCTAAATTGATGTGATGAGTATAAGTCCTGGTTTAGGAAAGAGGTCAGTAAGAACGGAAGGGAGCATAGAAAAGAAGTGCTTATAATAGAAGTTGAGTGTTTAAAAGTATTGCATGTTGTTTGTATTTTGGTTGCTAAGCTAGGGGATATTAATTATGGCACTTTAAACAGTGAAGATCGAACTTTGTCTGACTATGTAGCCATTTCAGGGTTTCTAGCGCCCTCTATCATTGTAAACCTTATTTCTTATTTTGCAGATTGAATATTGTTACATGTTAAATTGAGATGGAATAATAGGAGTAAGAGCAATGTTTTGGGTTAGACCAAGAGATTATTGGAGTTTGTTTGGAAGTAAGAAAAGTACGGAAGATAAATATATGAATGTGTTGCTCTATATGAGGTTTATATTGACTGTTACTTCTAGTTGTTTAAGTATTTGGGTCAGGTATTTACCTGTGTTAATGTTGAGAGTTTCAGCTACATTGTACTGTGGCAATTGATTTTTAAAGGGCAAATTTACTCGTTTAATATTTGATAACATGACATGTTTTGGAGAATGCATGATCTCCATGATTATCGGCATTAGTGATTATGTAATGTGTCTGTTACTGGTTACTACTAATAAAGACTCTTTGCTTGGCCCTCTCACAGGATCTGTCTGTCGTTGATTTCGAGTTCTCGACCACCTCACATGATGATAGAGTACAATCAAGCGTTCTAAAAGTTTACGAACTTATACCCGAAGCGTACAGACAGCGAGTTCCAAAGACAATAAATTAATGCCACTGGGCCTACATTTTGGTACTAATGATATTTTATATCTTTACAAACGTATCCGAATTTTGGTAAATAGGGTCCTAAAATGTGCACCAGATGTAAAAGAAAAAGTCATGAATTTTCAAGGCAAGATTAATTTAGTCCCCCCCCCCCCCGGAGCCATTGAGGGTTAAATGACCATGCACTCCCATTTCCCATGTGTCTACTCAAAATCAAGAGGAGTGTAAATTCCCTCTTAACTGCACCAAAATATGAAACACGCTCTGTCTTGTGTCTGTGCTTGCACTTCTGCTGACATTGAATTAAGAAAAACTGTATACAAATTTTCTCTCTAATGATTAAATGTTTTTTCTTTTAAATTGCTTGTTCATTAATTTACCTTTTTTTTTCTCTATAAGCAACGATCAATTGCTCTACATAGAAAACGTGTATGTATGTAGGTAAGTAATCCGATTTGACATAACAGCTTTAATACCTGTTTCACACATACTCCCGTTATAGCCATCAACACAGGAACAAGTAAAGGTGTTTACTCCATCAACACAAGTCCCTCCATTCATACAAGGTGTGGTAGAACAATCGTCGATATCTGAGTAAATTGAGTTAAAAAGACAGATACAGGTGGATACAGGGAAATCAAGTAAAAACTGGTATAATGCAAATCAATGACACTTGGGGTATGAATTACTTCATTTGAAAAACTGTAAATATATAAATAAAATGAAGTAAATAACCGAATATCTCTATTCATGTTTGAATCATTTCAACTTTGAGGCCTTGGAAAGAAATTATTTTACGAAAAAAATCTGATTGTCTGACAACCTTGATGTGTCTCTGCTATAAAAGAGGGTAAGTAAAGTGAATGCTGTTTCATTTAGGGGTAAAATGGACGCAGAAATGTCCGTGTCATGGTATCAATGTGTGAAGTAAAGAGGCTGTTCACACCGGCAGAGAAAGCGCGCGCTAGACCGCGCTATCTCTGCGGTTTGGAAGGTACAACGTCGTTTCGGTCCGCCCAACAGCGAGCTACGGCGAGCCAAAACGGCGTGCCATTGGAGCACCTCTTGGGGGTGGTCCACGAGAGAGAGCGCGGTCTAGCGCGCGCTAGAAAAAAGGGGGTGCTTTCGATAGACCGCGCTATCTCATTGCGGTGTGAACAGCCTCAAAGTCATTTATTGAAGGAATTACAATATCAACTCTGCTCTTAAAATGCTGGCTCACATAGTAGCGGCAAAGACCCCGCAAAAGGCGACGGATATGAAAATCACAAAATTTAGGCGGCAAAGCGACGGCAAAAGGGGAAAACCAAGAACGGGTAGAAACGACCTTCCTAAAATGTGCACCAGATGTAAAAGAAAAAGTCATGAATTTTCAGCGCAAGATTAATTAAGTCCCCCCCCCCCCCCCGGAGCCATTGAGGGTTAAATGACCATGCGCTCCCATTTCCCATGTGTCTACTCAAAATCAAGAGGAGTGTAAATTCCCTCTTAAAGACACTTAGTAGTCAGCTCTCATGGGGAATTCGACACCGTTCGGGTGTTTACCCCAAAACAGGTGTTGTCAATCATCAGGGTTAGCCTTGTGTCTTATGACCATTAGACCTTATGTAATGCTTTGCTTTCCCCCGTTACCCAAAAACTCTCGAGTATTATCCGAGATATTAGGGGAGAATTCTTGACTGGCCAACGGTTTTGCTGTGTGCAGATTTGTACTCCCATTAATGGTATATCCACCAAGTCTGGTGTCAGCGAAATCTGGCCTTCTGCATATGGAAACGTTTGCTTGTATGTGTCTCATAAAAGAAGTTGACCACAAACTGACTCCTACACGGTGTTGAGTGCTCAGGGGTCACAGGTCACTGGCTTCATCGGGCAGGTAGTTCCATTATGTGAATGGGTAAATTAACTATTACAAAATGAGGGGACACTTTACATTGTACAATAGGGACACACGTTGCAGAACATACTCTTTTATTGACTTACTCACTACATGAAACTATAAAACCAAAATGCATTTTGTATTCTAAAAATTGGAGTACAAATAATAATAACAGGTGAATGAAATGCATAAATACCACAAACACCTGGGGAGGAAGCATTCATATATTTGAATACATAATTGATAAACGACTCCGATGAAACTATAAAACTAAAATAAAATTTGCGTTCTGGCAATTGGAGTAAGAATGATAGCAGGTGAATGAAATGCTTCAACAACACAAACACCTTGGAAGCTAGGAAGCATCCATGAATTTGAATAATTTAGTTGATAAACGACTCCGTATGTGGACGTTTGGTGGAGCAGAAAGCATTGGATTATTAACAACACGAACCCATTTAACAGAATGTCGGAACGTAAATTAAATTTGGCGCGGTTGGAAAATGCATCTTTCTACCATGCGACTTTAATGGTACGTTCAGTAAATTAAAACAGTAAAATGGATCTTATTTTAAAATTACTCATTAAATAAAACCATAAACTTCAGTGATATCAGAAAAATATGTTAAATCTTACTAATAATTAAAAAAGATGTATAAACATTGTGAAAGTGTCGCATTTTACGATAAAAAGACACCGATTTAGCGAAGATGACGTCATTAGTGCGCTTACATCAGGAAATTTAAGGTCAAAAGGTCAATTCAGACGCTGATAAGTTAATTGTCGAGCTTTTTTGTTTCCTTTATTCCGACAAAATTATACAATCAATCAAAACAAGTTTAATACCAGGAGAAAGCTAACGATTAGTGTTTTCATTAACCGCTTGCCCCAAAGTCGCTTGACCACAGTGAAACGAGTGAGAGCTTGCGAGAGCGGCCAAAGTGTGATTGAAACTCGCTATTTGCTCTTCTCCAACGCAAAAAGAGACGACATTGTGCTGGATAAATGTATTTTTTCCGACAAAAGTACAGAAAATTTGCATACGGTCTTTTTATATTATACTTTATGAAATGTTACCCGAGTGAATTCCGGGCGCCCCAATGCTGGAAAGAAACGCACATTTTAGAAAACTTCACTTTTTCATGGCAAAATGCTTATTTGTTCTATGCACACAAGTCAGATTGAGCGGATGATACAACGTTTCCATATGACATGGAAACTGCCGATACGGTCCCTTTAATTGCACCAAAATATGAAACACGCTCTGTCTTGTGTCTGTGCTTGCACTTCTGTTGACATTGAATTAAGAAAAACTGTATACAAATTTTCTCTCTAATGATTAAATGTTTTTTCTTTTTACTTGCTTGTTCATTAATTTTACCTTTTTTTTCTCTATAAGCAAGGATCAATTGCTCTACATAGAAAACGTGTATGTATGTATGTAGGTAAGTAATCCGATTTGACATAACAGCTTTAATACCTGTTTCACACATACTCCCGTTATAGCCATCAACACAGGAACAAGTAAAGGTGTTTACTCCATCAGCACAAGTCCCTCCATTCATACAAGGTGTGGTAGAACAATCGTCGATATCTGAGTAAATTGAGTTAAAAAGACAGATACAGGTGGATACAGGGAAATCAAGTAAAAACTGGTATATGCAAATCAATGACACTTGGGGTATGAATTACTTCATTTGAAAAGCTATCAATATATAAATAAAATGAAGTAAATAACCAAATATCTCTATTAATGTTTGAATCATTTCAACATTGAGGCCTTGGAAAGAAATTATTTTACGAAAAAAATCTGATTGTCTGACAACCTTGATGTGTCTCGGCTATAAAAGAGGGTAAGTAAAGTGAATGCTGTTTCATTTAGGGGTAAAATGGACGCAGAAATGTCCGTGTCATGGTATCAATGTGTGAAATAAAGTCATTTATTGAAGGAATTACAATATCAACTCTGCTCTTAAAATGCTGGCTCACATAGTAGCGGCAAAGACCCCGCACAAGGCGACGGATATGAAAATCACAAAATTTAGGCGGCAAAGCGACGGCAAAAGGGGAAAACCAAGAACGGGTAGAAACGACCTTCCTAAAATGTGCACCAGATGTAAAAGAAAAAGTCATGAATTTTCAGCGCAAGATTAATTTAGTCCCCCCCCCCCCCGGAGCCATTGAGGGTTAAATGACCATGCGCTCCCATTTCCCATGTGTCTACTCAAAATCAAGAGGAGTGTAAATTCCCTCTTAACTGCACCAAAATATGAAACACGCTCTGTCTTGTGTCTGTGCTTGCACTTCTGCTGACATTGAATTAAGAAAAACTGTATACAAATTTTCTCTCTAATGATTAAATGTTTTTTCTTTTAAATTGCTTGTTCATTAATTTACCTTTTTTTTTCTCTATAAGCAACGATCAATTGCTCTACATAGAAAACGTGTATGTATGTAGGTAAGTAATCCGATTTGACATAACAGCTTTAATACCTGTTTCACACATACTCCCGTTATAGCCATCAACACAGGAACAAGTAAAGGTGTTTACTCCATCAACACAAGTCCCTCCATTCATACAAGGTGTGGTAGAACAATCGTCGATATCTGAGTAAATTGAGTTAAAAAGACAGATACAGGTGGATACATGGAAATCAAGTAAAAACTGGTATAATGCAAATCAATGACACTTGGGGTATGAATTACTTCATTTGAAAAGCTATCAATATATAAATAAAATGAAGTAAATAACCAAATATCTCTATTAATATTTGAATCATTTCAACATTGAGGCCTTGGAAAGAAATTATTTTACGAAAAAAATCTTATTGTCTGACAACCTTGATGTGTCTCTGCTATAAAAGAGGGTAAGTAAAGTGAATGCTGTTTCATTTAGGGGTAAAATGGACGCAGAAATGTCCGTGTCATGGTATCAATGTGTGAAATAAAGTCATTTATTGAAGGAATTACAATATCAACTCTGCTCTTAAAATGCTGGCTCACATAGTAGCGGCAAAGACCCCGCAAAAGGCGACGGATATGAAAATCACAAAATTTAGGCGGCAAAGCGACGGCAAAAGGGGAAAACCAAGAACGGGTAGAAACGACCTTCAGCGACAACACGAAGGCAAGGGACGAATGGCTGCGGCAGGGAAGGGAATCTAGCGACCAAAGTCAAACGTTGTCAAGGAGGCGAGTGACGATGTCTCGACGAAACTCGGCAACAAGGAACGAGGTCAGACGGCTGGCAGCGGATTAGCTGGTGGCAAAGGAACGGCGGTTGACGCTAGGTTGCGGCGAGGCATATTGTAGCCTGACCCTAGCTCCGTCCTCCATGATGATGAAACAGCTTTGACAGTTTCTTTTTAAATGAACTTCAAAATTGCATCGTGCCAGACAGTCTATTGAAATTAACTAACGTAACAAAACGTGGAGAGTCGCACTACAATTTAAAAATCGTGGACTTTCGTTGCAAAATCATAACTCATCGCAGACCACCGTTGCAGTGTTGCAGGTACTTGGAAACGACCCGCCATCAACAGTCGTCACCCTTCGGCCGAAAATTGCAATCCATCGTCACGCCAAGGTCGTTACACTTTCGTTACTTGCCGCAATGTGACTTCAGGGTTCGAGATGTGACGTCACTTGCCGTCGTTAACAACGACTACCAACAAAATTGTGACGACCCCAAAATGACTAAAGATGGAATCGCACAGCATAGAAACGTTAAAGTAGATATTCATTGATTTTAAAAACTAACTTTATTTTCATTACTGCAAAGTTGAAACTTTGATCCGACAAGGTTATCAAAATAAAATGCTTGGAAACATTCGAAGTAAAGATTATTATAAATTAACAAAACGCTTAAATACAGCTCCGGCATAGCAACCTGAAGAGCTCTCCGAACGCTGCTGAGATGTGTGGGATAACATTATAGACATGATTTGCACAAGCAGACGATGTCCCATGACATCTCACACATTTTCAGTGCCTGTTTTTTCATCTTCTCTTGAGTTCTTTCTCTTACTTCACTACCGTCAGGCTAAATGTATAATCTATTGCGTCACTCTAAACCCGCGCAAGGTTTTATTTTGATGACAAATGCAGCGATACAAAAATAAAGGAATCTGTCGCTTGTAAACAAAATAAGTCCCCATTGTATATTCAGCTTCTGTTGTTCGGCGTTTCAAGAGGGAACAAAGGGTTTTTTCAACTTGAAAGTCTGGTTTTCTTTGATTGTTAATTAACCCCTATCCTGTGTATTTACAATCAAAATATTTTAGTTATCAGAATCGGTTTTATATCCCCTTTTGAATGGTTTGAAATGCCATCACATTTATATACACTAAACTCATTATAATTTGACAAATAATAGCTTTGCAATTATGTTCACTCTTTACGGGATGTCGTCTGCTTGGGCAGTATTGGTCCACATTGTGACGTCATTAAAACATTGTTATGTTTCTGGCGAATCTCTCATATATCCCAGCTGCTATGGAGGTGGTTGTATTTGTAATTTTATAAATCACCCGATATGTAGTTGACCTAAAACTTGTACGACGGCCATCTGTTAGCTTACCAGTTTCAAGGGATACATTAGTTGACATATTTTTGAGTTTCTTTGAATTTCCACTTTAACCCTATCTAGCCCCCCCTCGACATTTTTCGCGATAATTTGTTAACGTAAACAAATCTTGCACTGACATTTTGTGACTTTTTTCTTTCGAGTCTTGCGCATCTTTTGAAAGAAATTTTTCGAAAATCGGACCTACCATTACAAAGTCACGTGTCCTTTTGTCTTTGCATGTCAGCCCGAAAATCGCTCATTTTTGTGATTTGTGTACAAACCATATGGAAATCTCATTTTTCAAATAAAGAGATAAAACATTGGTTATTATATGCAGTTTCAAAATAGCCCGGGCTAAATAGGGTTAAGGAAATGAGGGTTGAGGTCTCCAACGAAATCTGAATGGAATCACAACAATTTTTTTGCTGCCACAAAATTTTTAACTTGATATATTTGCAGACGGACGCGACTGGTAATTCCGGCGGTCTGCGGTCGCTAGCGGATTCGTCAGCGACAATTGAAGGCAACACACGATGATTGGCAGGAAATTGAAAATTGCAATTCGCAGCTTAACGTAGCTTGTGGTACCCTCCTATTCGTCATAGTGTGAGCCAGCCTTTAGATGAACACTCCCATTTTCCATGTGTCAACTCAAAATCAAGAGTGTAGTTTCTCTCAGAACTGCACACAAATATTGAACACCCTCCCATCTTTGAATTTTACTTGGCAGTCTGTCAATTGAAATAAAGTCTTCTTTTTTTTGTGATAGCATAGTATAGAGAGGGTTTAGGAAGATTACATACAACTTGTATATTTTTTATCACATTTGTATCATATGAATGTGGGAAGAAATATTCTCTAACACATAAATCGCCTTGGCAGACATGGTAGAAAGGGTCCACTAGATGCGCAGACTACTGATTTTAACTTCGGGCAAAGTATTTCAAAGTCATCCTCCTTTGTTTACATTACACGCAACATATTTTAGTTGGTACAGACTGAAAAGGGTGTAGAAGTTTCACAATTTCTTTTCGCATTTAATTGCCAGGAACATGATAAATGATTTTATCAACGCGAATAGCTTTAATCATGATTTTATCAACGCGAATAGCTTTAATCATGGTTTGTAACAGGAACAATCAAATGATGAAGCAGAAGACCGAGTATAATATTGCCTTAAAAAGAAAAGCTTGGCAATTATTTTGATTGGTTTTTATTTCAGATTTAATAGCTCACATAGCATTTGCTGAAACTTCTGCATTGTCTTGTTTTGTTGTCCTCACTTATTTCTTGCTTTCTGAATAAAAAAAAGTAAAAGAAACTTACCATTGCATGTGAACCCATCATCATGAAGCTCAAACCCAGGACGACAAGAACACGAGAAGTTTCCAGCTGAGTTGAGGCATGTCTGATTGCAATTGTGAGCTCCGAGACATTCATTGATATCTAAAAGAAAATAAGAAATACAGGAAAAAAGATTATTTAATATAACTTCTGATTATTATCATGTTTACCTTCGTAATTTCTTTTATTAACAGGATCCTATTGAAAACCAGCCGTGACGGGCTTGGCATGGCATTATATGAGCGACCCAGCTTTTTCCTTTGATATTGTATATATGTTTATTGTACTACTACTACTACTATAAGCGTCAATCAGGGGGGGGGGGGGAGGCAGAGGGACACAATAGGGTATGTCCCCCACATTTCAGAAGCCTTGCATTTTGTATACCGTATTAATCACAACAGTGGTTGAGTGTTTGATTTTGTTCCCCTCATTCCCGGCAGCTGATAATGGTCATATCGTGAGATTCCTTGCCTCACTTTGACAAACTATCAAGTGTGCATCACGTTTTGCAACAGTGTGCACATCATGCACATACACAGACTTTCAAATATTTTATCGAAGCCCCAAATCACACCCTGAGCAAGTATTTCTGGGAGGTTTTCCTACCCTAAACAATTATGTCATTTATCATTAATTTCAGAAAATTTCTATACCCTGAACTACTATTTCGATTTCCGCAATTTTCTGCACGCGATTATGGCATTTTTCCAAACAAATAATTGAACAGTGTTATCGGCATGCTGGTTTAACATTCAAATAGGGCTCATTTCATTCTCGACATCTTGTGAGCATGATTTATGAATAATGTACCCTTTAACGTACGCGATGTGCGATTTAAACAATTTTTCTTCTTAAAAAATGTTCATGTTTTTGATACCCTAAATGAGATACGCACGTTCCACCTCCAACGACAATACCCTTTCCTTGGTGTTTGTGTATGCGCATGATGTACAATCTTGGACATTACCCCCCGGTAATCTTGTTTGCTCAATGTCGTTTTCCATCTTCATCTCTCATAGTGTTTTCTGTTCCGAGATTTGTAATGAGATCGCGTTTTGACATACTCCTAAACAAAAATAGCTGATCATAATTATAACGCAGAACCAAATATGACCCTATCTGAATCATGGAAAGATATAGGAACAATAAACATGAGATTTAGTAAAATGTCACAGACAAAAAAATGACATGAGAAAATATTATTTCTCTCTCTCTCTCCCTCTGTCTATCTGTATGTATGTCTGTCTGTCTCTCTCTCTCTGTCTTTCTGCCAATGTCGTTTTCCATCTTCATCTTTCATGTTGTTTTCTATTCCGCCATTTGGTTATGTGCCGACATCATTCCCTCCTTGAGATAAATTATTATAACATATCCCTGATGATGTACACATTTTACCTTATATTTATTATAGGGAACGAAAAAAGAGAACGAGCGGCTGATAATGTCAACATGAGAAGAATATTACTGTACAAAAATTATAGAAGGTAAAAGTTTTGAATTTTAATGTAAATCTATGTTGCATGGAAGTAAAATGATACGTTATTGACAGAAATAATATACATCGGACATTATACTTTAGCACAAAAGGGTTATCTAGAAGAAGGTGAACAATATTATAAGAGAGAGAATAAAACTTTCTCTTTTATTCATACAAAAAATAAATAGCATAAATACCCTACAAAAACAAAAGAAATCTTGAAGAGGGAGACAAGTAAAAGATATGAAAAGGACACTCAAAAAAAGAAAAAAAGATAGGATTCTAGAGCGGAAGATGATAAGGGAAACACAATAAATAGCTTGTGATTATTGGCAAATGTTGACAATTTTAGTTTGTTAGTATTGACAAGGTATATACAAAAAAAAAAATGACACAGACATATTTCAACGTATTTTAGACCTACATGTATATAGAATATACGAAAAGAGTTATGTCTTAGGCCCACCTACAGCTAAGTTACGTAAACGGAACAATGAACGTGGCCAAGGGTAAAGTATGGGCGAGCGCAGATTACGCTGCTCCCAATGAAGTACCACTAGTATCAGTATTCTGTGTATTCTAGGGCGCCTTAGCAACGCGACGGAAGGCAAAGATGGGAGAATTCACTCAACTGAGATTGTCCTGTACTATGCTCCCGTCTGCATTTGTAACCTGTATATACAGCGCTTCCGCAAACACGACGGAAGGCAAATACGAGGGTAACCGAGCAAAATAATCAATATGCGCATGTGCTAACCAGAATTTTCTCCGTCTTGTTGATTTTCACGACCGTTCTCAGCCATAATAGCGTTTGTTCCCTAAACTCGACGGAAGAGTTGTATCGCCGTACAATGGACCATTTTCGTACTGTAACCAAATTTAATGCATAAGTTTTTGTGAAGTGCCTCAATACAAATTATTTCATTCACCTGATAAGAATAATATTATTTCAATAAAGGCCTATTGTAAAAGGCTAGCAAGCCTGGCTATCAAAAAAACGTCAAGGTAAAGTAGGGTATAATTATGTATCACTGAAACAACACTGGTTTGACAACTGGAATAAAATCTATGCGTTTTAAGGTCTGAGAACCCAAGAGCGAAGCAAGCAGAGCGTTAAACGGCATGAGGTCGAGGCAGATGCGGCGGAGCGTATTTCAAAGTGGGGGAGGGAAGCGCACCAAAAAGGGCATTTTCTGGAAAAGGGGGGCACCTACTAAGGGAAATCTCAAAGCGAAAATATATATTTTTTAGACATTGGTATATACCCTACCCTACATTGTAATTACATTATCAGGGATGATTTCAATGTTTGTTTCTCTCTTTACATGGTCCAAGATACTAAGCATGATTCTTTTGCAGTTGGGCTGAATATTTATTTGCGAGCGAGCGAAGTGAGTTTAACGCTCTGCTTGCTTCACTCTGTATGCTCTACTTAGACAATCATATTTCAGTGCCTCCTAAATATAAAATGCATTGACGCCCCTGACTACTTCTACTACTACTACTACTACTACTACTACTACTACTACTATTATAACTTACAACAACAGCAACGACTACCAATACTACGACTGCAACTACTGTTATTAATACTACTACTACTACTACTACTATACTAATGGTATAATAGTAATTACCTGAGCAAGAATCATTTCCTGTTCCTTCGAAACCCTCATTACAAGTGCAGTAGTAGCTTCCATCAGTGTTTGTACAGTTTCCGTTAAGGCAAACATCTGAAGATAGATCACATTCGTCGATATCTACAAAAGAAAAAGGGGGACATTTAAAATATTCCACATGCATTAGATAATTATTAACCAATAGACCGTCATGTCATTGCATGGGGTTCCGTCAATGAGTTATATAATTAAACATGATCATTGAAAAGCTGAACAAATTTTTTTTCTGGTTTTCATTAATAAATTTTTAATTGTTTCAAGAAAAAGAGTATGAAGGGCGAATCTTCAACTTGAAGGGACACATTTTTCTTAAATTTCCATTTTCAGAGTGTTGTAAATGTATATATTAGATAGCTTAGACAGATACCGAGATGAGATTGGTCCAGAGCTTGTCACGTGATATCAATTTTTTCCTTGCCGGTTATTTTTTACCAGCTGTGTAATGAATATATTTTTGATCAATGCATGTCGCCCTCTTGAGGACTGTATGTCACCAATTACACACATTACACCATTACCGAGGGTCACTTTTTTTTATTTTTTTCATTATTTTTTTTCATTAATTTTTTTTTTATTACATTTAAAAAAAAAGAATTTTTTTTTGTTTTTATCGACAGATTTATCGACAGATTTTGACCAAACTTGGCGTGTCTGTGTCCCATCATGTATTTTACAAGACTGTATACTGGTAGTCACATTTATGATATCTATTGTTATTCTTAATTTTTGTCTAATTAATGATACAAATATGCAATTTTTTTCAAGGAATTCTCATTTTTTCCAGTCCGCCCCCCCCCTATTTATGCAGAAAATGCAATTAAATTTGGCATGTTTGTAGCTTGTCATAAATTCTAAGAGATAACTTAGTCAAATTAATGACATGTATTGTAATTCCATATTTATAATTGTCATTAATTATGCTAATATTCTGAATTTTCTTATTTTGATTACGTCAGGGCAGAAATCTTTTGTACTTAATTTTTGTAAATTTAGAACAATTAAAAAATATCAAAAATGTGAAATTATTTGTCCACTAACATTTTCTTTAGATTGATAATTTTTCTTTTTCTCTGATTGTTTCTGAATTTTCATGTATTTCTTCGTTTTCAAATCTTTAGCTTTTTATTGTTTTGTTATCTAGAATAGTTGATGATGGTCAAAAGGGATGTTATCTGAGGAAAAAAGAAAATGCATTTTTTGGACAACACTTCTTGTAAAACCCATACATTGTACACACAAGATCAATGGAAACCGCCATTTTTTGGCGACGTTGGTCAGGAATATGTACTATATCTCTGCAACCATACCCCCGACTTTTGCAAAAAGGGACTTAAAATGTGAGCGAGATGTCAAAGAAAAAGTCCCCCCGCGCTATTAAGGTTTAAGATAAGTGTATCGTCTTACCCTCCTGCATGACTCGATGATCTGGGGCAATAAGTCGTGACCCAGGAAGCAATTCCATGAAAATCCGCTCTAGGCAGGTATCATCCAAAGATGCATCAGGTTTTACATCGACCCGGAAGGACAATAGAACGTAAGTTCCGGTCAAGGTGTAGTTATGCACAGACACAACCTGCAACGTGTCGTTACCCAATTCCGGTGATGTATTGAGGTAACGCAATACCTTCAAAAAGATTTATAAATCACAATTTCATGAATTCATTATTTAAACTTTAATGGGAATTTTGCTCTGACAAGACTAAAGTTTTGGATAAGTTTGACATGAGCCCAAAAAATGCTTTTTACAATAATTTTGTTTGTTTCCAAAGATGAACGTCTTCAAAATCTCTTTAAAAAAAAGAAGATTTTATTCACACGTTAGTTGAATCTTGTTTTTGTTTTGCGAAACTTTATTTGCACAGAATAGCCTGTTATCCTATCAATGTATTATTAAGTTAAAGTGTATTCAGTTTAAGAAAAAAAATCATATCTTAGTTGACTCTATATGATTGTTATTTATCGGATTTAGAAAAAGGTAGTGAACAACTAACTTTCACGTTTAAAAAACAAACAATTCTTGATTCATAAGTGAACCTTTATTGACGGATTAATTTGTATTTCTCTGGAACTTCTCCAAATTAACTTACATCTTGGGCCAACTGACGCTGGTTCTCTTGCGATTCGACCACAGAAGGATAAGATTCAACGCTTAATCCACTGATGAATGTAAGACGAACGTTGAGTGATAACGACAGCGCGTCTATTCCATTACAGAATTAAAAAACACAAGAAATACATTGTTATTGGAATCTTATGCTAAATTAGTAGGATAATGATCTAATCTTTAATCAGACTACTTTCTTTAAAATAAAGGTCGTTTGTATACATTTTCATCTAAGGGGGTGGAGACAGTTCTTCCTCGAAAATCATCTTTCAAGTTTCCACATCTTGCTGGCGAGCGAAGCACATGAACAAAAGTTTCGACCCTCCCCCCTCCCTATGCAGATCCGCCCTATAGTTGAATTTCTCTTAAAGTCTTCATTAGGAGAACATGGCATAGATATGTTGCTAAATCAACAAGTGATTGACAGGTTATTTTGAATTGGATTAGAAAATATATTTGATTTGATTTGAATCTTTTTTCCACTCAAACATCCAAAAAAAAAATAACAAGTATAAACCATACACTATTACAATATATAATATAACAAATAAATTATAATAGTAACAAAATACTGATAAGTATCTATGAAACAAAAAAGGTTAACAAAGTACATTTAAGTTTGAGAATAAGCCCAAATATTTTAAATTGCTTGATTTAACTGAGAGGAAAACAAATACAAAAGGGATTCATACTTTGACAGTTCCCATCGAATTATGTTGCCTTATACGGGAGTTTTAATTTTTTAAACTTTGGATCTGCCCTCTAAATTGGGAATCAAAATTTTCAGTCCGAATACAGGGCATACAAAATGTTGCCAAATACGAAACATATTTCACAGTAATTTCGTACCAGCCGGTCATTGAGAAAACAAACTAAATAGATTCATACTTTGGCAGGTTCCATTGATTTCTGCTGTGTTCTCACTGCACACGCACGAGAAGTTACCGGGTGTGTTCCTGCAAACACGATGTAGGCTGGACTCGCAGTCATCCGTGCGCGATTCACATTCATCGATATCTGTTTAAAAGGGCACAAAGGGAGAACAAGGTTGTATATTGAACGAGAGAGATGACATGTTACAGGAAGCATTAAAGTTGATATTAGACAATCGCAAATATTAAGATAATTACATCAATAGAAAGCTTTTAACCTCCAGAATAACACTAAATGGTGTCCAACTGACAAAAACAAGTTTAGAATGGTGAATTTATGCGAGTAAACTCTACCAAACTATCTAAGTCTGAAACCCGGAAGTGCATGTAGAGTCGGGCCTCTATCCGTGACGTCACGAACAGGACTCATGGGCTCAGTGAGAGTGAATGGCAATAATATCTCTACGTAATGCTATCCTGTCAGAGCTTAGATTTGTTGTTGTTAATGAGTACCGGTATATTTGATGGATTTTCTGTTTTCATTTGACCGATGAATGAAGAATAACGAAGCATCATTTTCCAGTCGCTGATTTCTTTTTATATCCTCATATTCACCTTTTATAGAGATTTCAGACGAGTTTACTGCTTGGGAAATAAGGTAAATCATGCACGTATGAATAGGCGGATGCATTATCTTGTCACCAGATAAGGTACAGGAGCAGTTTTGTCAAACGAATAGGCCTAGAACTATGATAGTACTTATCATAGATGTGTGTGACTGCCTCAAAAAAGGATACAGTACCAGTTAAACATTTTATGTTGTAAATATCAAACTTGAACGAGATCATGCAAGCGCGCTTCCTCTATAATATTTTGACAACGTCTAATGATCGAACGATAGTCCGATCCGCGAGTGATGCGGCTCTTGCACGAACGTTCGTGAAGCGAGCAGAATCGGGAGGCAAGACCAGGCCGCTGCTCTGGGAGCGGCTTGCTTGTGATGGAACGTACGTGCGCTAGTTATGTTTATCATCAATTGCAAGAGAATGAAAGCGACGTTACCATCTAAGAAAAACAACTAACAAAGACCTGCTCCTCAGTAACTAAGGGTGTCATAATTGGTAGATCGCACAATGCACAGCATGGAAGAAGATGAAGGATTTTCAGGGCCAAGGAAGGCGAAAGACATGGGAAAAGGGAAGGAGAAACCATCGGGATATCGCTGTATGGTAATGAACTGTGCATCAGTCCACTTACCAGACAGCGCTACAGTTCACTCCGTGCCTGGGCCGATTTCAACAATCAACACCAAAACAAAAATTACATGGTGAAAATATCGACTAATATAGCACATCGTTGGCATGTATATGTAATAATTTTTAAAAGGGGAATTGATATTAATACTATGAAATATTAAGGGAAGGTAAAGAATTGTACATAGAATTATGATTTATTAGACTTTTCAGCCTTTGAAACAAAATAAAGCAGAAAATCGTATCTCTCTGAGTCTCTGCACATGCTTTCTATGGAACATCCGGGTACGTGAATATACTCTTTTTCCGGACGTGATGTCATATATATATATATATAGTATACCAGCGCTGCGACTGATTTTCTATGCAAAGAGAGGCGGATATTTCCGACATTTCAATTAAGGATTTCGAGTAGCCAGAATTTGTTAGTGATATACTATGTAATTGAAAAACTTATAAATAACATATGCTTGCCGTAAGTACCAAATAAAGGGACATTTATTTGCTTAGAATATCAGCTTTAACATGAAAGGAAAAGTTTGTTTAAGGGATTAAGGTAGCTATCAATTATTTTAAAATGAACCTATAACCTGTATGGAAAATTCAATGACTATTCCCTTTTTTTTATCTTTTCTGTTTTTTCCTTTTTTATTTTCACGCTCTGACATATTCCACCATGCTCACACATATCTGGCAATGTTACAATCTGTGAACCTCTTGTGTCATTCTGCTACCTGATCACATACCATAATGTGTGACCTACATTTTCTCCCCCACCTTATCCTTCCCTCTCTTTCTCTCTGTGACTCTCCATCTCATTCTCACAGTCTCACTCTCTCTTTCACCTTCTACTCTATTGTCTCTCCCTCACTAAAACGCTCACTTACAAGCGGTGTGATAAATAAAAATGTTTTGTCTTGGGCTTATTTATTACTTAAAATCTGAGTTTTTAATTAAGTTAATACCAGGCACGGCTATTATAATTATACATATGTGTATTCATTTTTCTCAAAAATCTTTTATGTACCAAGCACCTATCATTTGGAATTCGCTTCCCATTTATCTGGAATATTAAATGCCAGGCACTGTGTTATATATATTTTGAACCTGTGTTGTTGTATTTTGTCATATCCTTGGTACTGATAATTATCTTTTAATTATAATCTTTAGGCCGGCCACTTATTAGGGTCACGCTACCTGCTAAGCAACTTTTATATTGTTGTACCAATGTAGACAGGCCGACATGTATTCTATTTTGTGTAATCTATTAACAATTATAGTGCTATGTATGTATGTTTTTTTGTGGTATTAAATTACAATTAAATTGAATTGTAAATATACATATTATTAGAGGTTGGGGGCTTGGGGTCTTGAGGATCTTGCTTTGATTGCATCGCTTAGATTCAAAAGTATTCAAGAATAGGGGCCTTGAAGCATTTTTGTAGGGGGAACTGAACCCCCCCCCCTCCCCCACTGAGATGCTACTAGTTCATACCTTGACACTCTTTAGGGGATGAATTGTCGTATCCTGAATGACAGGTGCAGTTGTAGTCTCCAGGCAGGTTGAAACAGGTTGATATATCACGCGGGCATAGGTCCACATCAGATGCACATTCATCAAAATCTGATGAGTAACAAGAAATCTTTGTCAAATAACAGAATTGAAGTCAAAATTATAAATAAAAATGGCATAACAGTTGAAAGCAGATCTGATATTAACAAGTCGTTGTCATAGAACTGGGTTTAATGAGAACTTATCATTTGTTAAATTCAAGGATATTGTAAGGAGAATCTTTTTATTTGTAATGCTCTATCACATTGTTAAAATTCTCTCTCCCTCTCTCTCTCTCTCTCTCTCCGCCTCTCAATTCAATTCAATTCAAATTTTATTGTCCAATGATTGGAAATTTGTTTCGTTTGCATGTCAGTACAAGATTACAGATTATAATCATCACTCTTCCTTGTTTAAATGGCCATTTATAACAATTATAACTACCATAGTCAAAATATATTTTTTTTTGTCTGCCCTCACCCAGGTTTAGAAGGGCTGGTAAAACGTGACACATATCTGTTATGGACCTCCACCCCCATTTATAAAATAATCCTTGACCTCATTTTGCTCCCCTTGAAATCCTGGTACGGCCTGTCTAACATACCTGAACACGTTCCATTTTCAAGTTGAAAACCAGGCTCGCATGTGCAGTTGACAGATGCAGTGGAATCCATCAGGGCCTCATCACATTCACTTATCTCTGTGATAAGATGAAACAAAATTTTGGTATTGAAATATAAAAATGTCATGAAGAAAAACTTTCATGTTAAAGCTCCATTAAAATTTCTCCTAACATATGCAATACTAATGGTTATTGGAAATGAACCAATTATCACCTTTAATGGGTTATCCTCTCTCTCTCTCACATATTCCATAAAGTAAACACACTTATAATTTAAAAAAATGAACCAATCATTTAATCAGTCAATCAATGGAGAAATTTCTTTATGATATATTCAGTAAATGTTAATCCATGATATGTTTATGTTGATTTGTATTCAAGTTGTGGTTCAAAAATGTTTTGACTATTGATAAGTTAGGGGTAGGTTTACAGTTAAGATTTGGGTAAAGATTAGGATTACGGTTAATGTTACAAGAAATGATGAATTATCAATTAGGTCGTATGCTTACTTCCCTCTGACAAATGGAGTTGGGAAGTCCACCTTGAAATTAAGTTAGTTTTTATTAAAATCAGAATTACATTTAGGCTGAATGTATGATCAAAAATTTACTTCAGGGAAATATAATTTATTGAAGTTGTTTAGCATATGGCGAATGGGAGGGGACCTTGCAAGATACGTCACAGAGTTGCCGGTTATTGGCTCAAACTTTCACTTACGAATATCTTTCATTGTTCTGCTTATATTAAAACCAACTTAATATCAGGGTAAACTTTCCCTTTAAACATGTTATTATAAACCTTTGTCCGGAAGACAACTTTTTTAAATTTAAGAAACTTGTTTTTATGAGAGCGACTGTTCCAAAAAATCCTAAGACAACAGGTAAATATCATATACACGCACGCATACACACACACACGGGCCCACACCCTTACCATCAGCCTTGTTTCTCTTATAATTATTTACTTTTCAGAGATTGTTTGTCAGGAATTATTTTTATGTTTGTTTCTCTCTTTACATGGTCCAAAATACTGGTTAAGGGAGACAGTGGGGTATTAAATGAGAAAAAAAAAGAGTTTTACATTTCCTGGTTTAGTATGAAGTGGAAGCTTTCAAAATACCAATGTTATGGGATACAGGTATATATTTCTTTGTCTAATTAAGGATTAAGTAATTGATGTCAAGCACTATATCAACCGGAAGTTGAAATATTTACTCAAATATGGATGTGGTTATGGATCCGGAATGTACAATGACTAATTCATTATCATCTAATATCTTTGAAACAGGCATCAAGTGAGCATTTAATTCCTAAACATATTAACTTCTGCTTCACTTTCTTCTCCAGTCATCATTTAGGAGAAGCAACAAATTTTCTTTTCCATGGAATATTTAGTGCACACCTACTGATATTCTTCATACATTATAACGCCAACATTTATCATTTTCAAATCTAAAATGCTATAACTTAAAAACTATTCATTCAATTTTGTTCAAATTTGGAGGAAATGTTTATTTCAAGGAGAAAAATGTGTTGATGATGGTTTTTAAGAGTACCTATATGGTAAACAAAAATATTTCTGTTTTTCATGAGGTTTTCTGATTTTTCATGAGGTTTTCTGATTTTTTCAAATCACTTTTATCTCACTGTAAAAACAGCAGAATTTTTCAAAAAGCCATCATTAAATTCAAGTTATATAAACATACTATCTACCTTTAAATCCAACAAGTGATATACCTGTACACTTCTGAGTAGTAGTGGTTGCAGTTTTTATTTCTGAAAAATCTCTAATTGTTTTGTTTGGAAATCTCTCATTCCACTTTTATTATAGTTGAATGGCTTTGTGGTTGTTATTATCTTATTCTTCAGAGTAAAAGCTTTCAAACAGTATATAGTTTATAGGGGGTAGCTTCTATGCTTGACAAGATATTCTTAATCAATATAGGGTGCGTGATAACACGATATATTACCCCACTGCCACCCTTAAGTATCATTATTTTGCAGTTGTTTGTTTACTTACCGTCACAGGAACGTTGATCGATGGCAAGCATATAACCGGTGTTACACGAACACGTGTAAGAACCTAGATTGTTTTCACAATTCTGTTCACAGTCATTCGTATCGTTATCAGCACATTCATTGAAATCTAAAAAGAGACATGGTAAAAGATGAGATGAACCAGACTTTATAAGGACAATTTATATGAAAATGGCTTATCCCCTACTTGAATAATCCGTATCATACAATGCCTTTGCATTTGACAGAAGGAGATAATGTCCAACATTCGCTGCTAAACTCGTGAAAAAGAAACCAACACAATATTTTTTTACTGAGTATGATTGAATTTAAATCAAATTTATTTAAACTAACTTACTCTTAAAATGTCTTCTAAATGCATTCTTCTACAGTTTAGTGGCTTCTATTAAGATTACAGTGAAATATTAGCATTTGGGTCGAGCAGTCTACTCACAAGTTGCTTGTGTACCTTCACTATGAGAACATTTTATTTGTAATCTCTCTTTACAAAGGTAGTGTTGAAAGCCAAACTTTTAAATATAGTATACCCATAAAACAAAACAAAAACAGCAAGAAAAGAAAGGGGGAGAAAGAAGAATATGTATGATTGGCCCCTTTAAAACAAGCTCACCAAAGCAAGTGGTACCATCGCCTGAGAGCTCGGGTGGACAAGGGCCGCATGTGTACTCTTCGTCTGAAGACGGGGGCTCATCGAAGCAGATAACCCCCTCGTAGCAGGGCATACCCTCACATGAATCATAGTCTACATCACAATGATCACCCGACCAACCACCAGAACAGTTGCACATGACCACCTGTAAATACATTGTTATGAGTACATTCATGCTTATCATGTATATGTAAATGAATGTATATGTATATGTATATGAAAACGGAGCCAGAATCCGTGAAGGGGAAATTGATCAAAACAGCCAAGCATGGTATAAGTCTAGTCCAGATTTTGTCCATTTTTATATATTTGTATTTTTCAATCATCTTTTTCCTCCTCCATTACACGCATCCCACACAGATTGTGCGAAATTCACCCGTTGAAACACGAAAAGCAATTAGGACTGTCTCTGTTATAGTGTTGAGGGTGTGTTATTTTGTCAGGTGATTGTGGGTGTGACTTGGAAATAGTCCAGTTCGTGGATTTATAAGTGCAGTACCTTTTTACCTCATTTTCATAATAACCTGAGTTTATGTTTTAGTGGTCAGATGGATCATTTGAACCCCTCACGCCATAACAACTTGTAGATTTGCTCAGAAGGGAGGGGAGTGGGTTTAATAGGGAATTTACCACACGTTATAATCATAATATTCAGAGCATGTGTCGTATAACTAAAGGCTATACCAATATACTCACCGCAAATCCGTTGGCATTTAGATCCTGCCCCTCAGCTTGGTTGTCGAAGTCACACACGCCTTCGTTCTCACATCGGCAGATCAAGACCTTGTATGCCAGCGATGTCTCTGCTCCTCGGTTGTCCATCACAATGATCTCGATAGATGATACATTCAGGTCAGGTGGTGTCCAGGTCAAGATACCATCTTTATGAGGGAGACAGAGAGAGGGGAAACAGTGAGTGGGATGAGAGGGAGGAGAGAGGCAGAGAGGAGTCACAAAGAAAGTGAATTAAGGAGAGAAGGCATCAGAAAGATAAGGAGACGGAAGGGGGAAAGGGAAAGGAGAGATCAGTATAAGGTGCACTCATCAAAAGATCAATCTGCATATTTAGCATTGCGATTCATCGTTTGACAAATAATCAGTCTGATCTATCATCTTAAAGAGTATAATTTGTTATGATATTTTAAAAACAAGTTCATAAGCAATTCTTTTGTTCATACCTGAGCTGATATTGGCGCCATCTGGTGCTGTATCGTTGAAAGTAAAGAATACCTCATCATCTTCGTTAGGGTCATGTGCAGAAATCTCCAAGGTAACGGTCACGCCCACTTGCATGAAGAGAACCTCCCCTTCTTGTAAAGCATCTGTCTCGCTAGTCTCTACCACGTTGGTTACGTTCGGAGGAAAATTATCTATATGATTTCAAAAGTATAACAAAAATGCAGCCATATTTTAATCAATTAATATGTCACGATTAAGAAGGGAAAAAAAGGATAACTCGGGGCAAAAGCCCCGCGAAGCATTGAGAAAGTAATTATAAAAAAATAGTTCATAAAAGAAATGCGGGCTGCATAGCAGCGATGAAATAGGGTAAAACATTTACACACAGCTATCTCTATTTTCTTAATTTGTTTTCATCATTCACAAGATGTTATATTGACTCGTTACGTGGTTGATACAAAACTCCTCAAATTCCCTCTCATTTCATTACATTAACGACATTTACTTCACTCGCCGTGTTTATTTAAGTTTGTAATTTTTGCATGCAGTAACGTTTGTTAATATACAAATGTTGTGAATCAAGAAATATGTTTGAAATGCCATACTTGTTTTGAAACTTACAACCCTTTTCTCCCGCCGTTGAATGTTCTCATGAATCTTAATAGTAAACTGGATAGTCCCCTCCCCTATACACCGCGTACAATGAGATGTACAGTGTTCAAATAGTAAAGTTAGGATATTCTTTACGCTGTGTCCTTGATTTTATTTGAAATAACAACCAAAAATGGTATCGACCTGCGAAGAAAAGGAAAGTTTTTGATGAAGGCAGAAATTTTAAATTATATTGGTCTCTGAAGTATTTCTTCAAGGAAGAGAAAGGTTAACTACTTTTAATAGCTCACTTGTCACCACGAAATCAAACTAAAAAAGTAAGCCTGATTTTTTCCCCACTGATTTTGTTGTTTGCTTGTTTGTTATTGGAAAATTGCAGGTGTATGTACACATATTGCATGAGCGAGTGTGTGTGTGTGTGTGTGTTGGGGGGGGGGGGGGGTACTCACACATGAGGACATACGGGGTCGTGCCGCTCTAACGTGTTACTTTTTCACAAAAAATCCTTTTAACAAAAATACCATTAAAAATGGGTCCCTTTTTCAAAATTTTCGGGTGTTTGCCCTTAAACATTCCGAAAAATACCTGAAAATTGTGAAAAATGTGTATTTTTTCGAGACTAATGACTCCTAAGAATGGGTAGGGGTTTCGGGGCTTGAGCGGCACACCCCCGTCCAACCCAAATCTGAGTACCCTGAGGGGGGGGGGGGGGTGGGGTGGGGAGACTACCTACGTCCCGCCAGGTTATGTCGATCGATAACTGTGGCCCGCGAGCTTTAAAAGGTTGGCCACGGTGTTCTAAACACACTGACTTGGTCTAATTGTTCATTTGTTTGTTTGTTTTACATGACTGCTAAGCCGAAAGCATGTGTATGCTTGTTAGTAAGCAATCAGGGGACCAACAGCTTTAAATCCTCTCAGGTGGACCTAGTAATGAGGGTTAATGCCTTACCAAAGGGCACTAGCGCCATCGACTTGGTTTCAAACCCCGGACCTCCCGGCTACGAGACCACTGCTCTACCACTGAGCCATTGTGGCAATTTCATGCATTCTAACAGGGTTGATTACGAAACATCTCCTGATCTCCCCAAAAGTATCAAAACGGTGCAGCCTATTGCCACATCTCACCAAGGTTTAGGAGGTCATTGTCGAGTTGGTTCCCTGTGGTCATAGTTTGTTGACCCATCTCAGGACTCACGGCGAGGTAGTCGAACAGGCACGCCTCGTCCTCCCCGCAAGCCTCTCTTGCCGCCTCGGTTCGGTCGTTGTCGAGAGCGAGCAGCTCGTCTAAGAACATTGGTTTGTAGTCGCTAGGATTGTAGTAACTCCAATTCCCATCGTCGTATTCAAACAGCGATTCGTTTTCACTGATCATCCCTGAGAAGTAACAAAATCAATGTTAACAAATAGTTCATGGGAGATTAGTGAAGATACAGTATTCCTGACATGACTGGAGAATCTACATCATCACCATCATCATTAACATCATCATCATTATTATCATTATCATCATCATTATCACAATCATCATCATCATCATGATCATCACAATCATCATCAGATGAATTTCTCTACCGTCTTCCTAAAGAAAATCTATCAACCTCTTCCTTGGTGTTCCTTTCGTTTTCCTTTCTCTTTACTGCCCATCTAATCAGTTAGATGGAGAATATCATGCACAATTTAAAGTCCTACTGGATACGAATCCCCCCAAAATAGTGTTATTCGAGTTTGAGTTTGAGTTCGTTTATTCATTTAATTTTCATGAAAAACACAGCAAATGCAAATAAACATAAAAGTATATATACAAAGAATGTGCAGTTAATACAATAGCTTCAAATAAAATAGAAGAACAAAGGAAAAGCCCATGGTGGCCTTGAATAAAGAGTTCCCCGAATATTATAATTTATATTATTTATATTACTGAGCATATATCAGTTAAAGATATCACAAAATACAGCGATAAACACAATATAAAGACAAAAAACCTACAATATAGTATGAAATAATTTTAAAATTGGAGGGGGGGGCAAAAAGGTTTAGAGGTAAATTCATTATTTAAAAGAATCAGCTCACGCCAACACAATGAGCTTTCTACGTAAATACTTCTGAATTATTTTACTTTTGATTCCCTGTTAATATGAATTCATTACTGTAAGAGAGAGATTTATACATTACACCCTATACACTAGACCATGCCCACAAGTGTGAGAAGTCTGTCCTACATATATTTTAGCATTTATAGTGAAACAAAATCATTAAAAAAGCACACTGTACTCTTTATAAATTGTATACTACAATAGGATAAAGAAATACAAATGATAAAAGGCACGCTGACAAAATGCTGCCTCAAATTGTTACTCAACAATAGAAAACACACAACAAACACTGAGTTTATAATATTGAATACATTTAGGATTGATCTCAATAAACATTAAGACATGGTATGGCAATAAAACTCTTTTGAATACTTACATGACTGTCCAAACTGAAATATGTCTCTGTCTGTTAAATTTCTCTCAGGCAGATCCATTAATAATGTTCCATTTCTGAGCAGAAAATCATCTGATTTGTTCCCATTTACATTACCTGTTTCAACACAAAGAAAAAAAGTATCACATTTTTTTTTTTCATTGTTTCAATTTGTAAAACCTTAAAACTGAAATCATTCTGAGGACCTTTTGGTATTGCATGTTGAAAACGTACAGCAAAGTTTTCTGACACCCATATTGAAAAACAGATAAATGGACTTTCGGATTAAGGTTAGAGGCAATATGTTAGAAGCAGTAAAATGTTAGGGTATGAGATTAGGGAAAGGTTTAGAGTTACTTGTCAAGTAGATTTCTCTGCAGTTTTTCCCTATAAAAATATAGAGACGCCCTTTACATATACCTAACGAAAGCGCTTGAAAGATATAACGATTGAGGTCGTATTTTACAGACGTTCACAATGCTGAGTCAACAGCGATGACTTTCTAATCATACCGGGTACCCATGCTAAGAAAGCATGTGTACGCTTGCAAGCATCCAGGGTATCAATGGCTATTAGTCCTATCCGAGGGACCTACAGTGAGGTAATGAAGATTAATGCCATACTAAACGGCACTATAGCGCATCAATTGGTTTCGAATCACGGCCCTGCCCTTTACGAGACCACTGCTCTACCACAAAGCCATCACGCCTGGGTGGAGAGAAGCAATATAAATGATATAAGAATTTGTCCCTTGAAGACGAATGAGGTGGTCTGCCTGTTTTTTTTCAAAGGATCTTTGTTGTTAACGGAGAGATGGAGAGAGAAAAAGAGGCAGAGACAGAGGGAGAGAGAGAGAGAGCAAGAGAAGAGGGGGCAGAGCAAGAGAGGGAAAGGGAGACAGAGAGAGGGAGAGGGTGAAAGAGTAGAGAGAGATAGAGAGAGAGAGATGCATTGAGAATAAGGCATTCAATATTTCCAGCATAAATAAAATATATACCTGAAGGCTGAATAAATGGAAAATAAAGAACGTCTGGGAAGGAGGCTAGCATCATAGAAATAAGACTATTTGATATTGTAGCGGACTTTAAGATTAACCCTATATAGGTTTAATACACTACAAGGAATCAGATTTCCCATGTACGCAAACTATTGACATTCCTCTCCGATAAATATAACACGCCAAATTAGGCATTTTATCATATTTTTGGTGATTGTATATGATATGTTATAATTTTTGAAGAAGGTGATAAAATCAAATATGAAATGACAGCAACAAAATTAAAAGGGAAAATTGAGCCACTGGAAATTGAATGTGGGTCGCCAGAACGGGAGGCAAGTGTTTTAACAAATAGACCAAAATATTTCCCATATACTTTACATGCAAAGCTGACAAACGGCCTTGGCATACTCGCAATTTTAACTTTCAATTGAAAATTTCGACATGATCCCAATCAATATCATCATTTTTCCATAAATATGCTGACATCATAATATGCAAATTCATATTTTGAGTTCAAGGCCAATATTATGTCATGATATACTTAATGTCGAAATTAGACATGAAATTATATTTCTGACTCATACTCTATTCAAATATAAAGAACCCTATGGATGTTCGACTGCAAGCAGTCAAAATGATGCCTCCGGCAATGAGCGATTTTACAAACAAAAACAGAAGCTAGTTTAAAAATTCAAATTTGAGTGTAATCCATTCTCAGAATATTGTGATTAAAAGCTATTTTCATATACGTGTATGACCCTTTGAACTTTGACCTCATGACAGTAAAATCTTATCAGTTCATTGGCTCTGCAAGATACATACATGACCCATGTTTGGCGGTAATCCATTAATCGGTTCTTGTGAGAACGCGATCACAAACTATTTTTGCATACATAATGAACCCTGTGATCTTTGACCTTTGACCTCGTACCCCTTAATCTTATCACTTCATTAGCTCTGCAAGATACATACATGACCCAAGTTTGGCGGTAATTCATCAATCGGTTCTTGAGATAACGCGATCACAAGAACGGGACGTACGGACGGATGGACAACCAGAAAACATAATGCCTCCAGCTACTTTGTAGCGGAGGCATAAAAATTGATTCTATGTTGCAAACGGCCATGACGAATGATGATGCTCGCGTGCAAAATTTTGAAATGCTTAAAATTGCCTGAAACGTACTTTCATTTGATTAAAAAGTGATTTTGAGCATTTCAACATTTCGCAAGCAGTCCAGCACTGACGCGCGCGTTTATTGACCTTAAATTGACCGGACAGAAATTTACCTTGATCATGATAAATATGTTTGAGAAATGACTTTCCGTAATGAAGATATGGTCATGACTTGATTTTCTGAAAATTTCACAAAATGGCGCCTGGTAGACGTCACAATGACCTGATGAACTTGAAAATGTTGGAGACACATCTTATGACAATGACCTATGACTGTTCAAGCAAATGCGGAGAAATAAATAAAAATAAATAGAAGACAATTCTGACGAAATCAATAGGTGATCTGTCGAATATGACATACCACCTAATAAATAAAAAAACAAAGAAAATTCTGACAAAATCAATAGGTGGTCTGTCGATGACAGACCACCTAACCTAATGCAGATCGAATGGGTACCGGTAGGAAGGAATTCCTTAAAATGCTGTGAGCGTCGAAATCGGCAGCCTAGCATAGCCGGGTAATGTTGGAGCGCCTTGAGGACCTTGCAAGGTCGATACGTGCGCTATATAAGAATCCAATATTATTATTATTATTATTAACAAATATAGGAATAATAATAATAAAGAAATAAAGAAAGAAAATCTGATGTAATAAAAAAAATGCCTTACCGAGCAGACCCCTCCCGGTTCCGTTCTGCGCATACTCAGAAGGGACCATGACACCCAGATCTAAGAGGCCGTTCTTGAAGGTCACGGTGAAGGACGAACTGGGATAGCCTTCTGGTTGGAACAGCGCTGTGACCTTAATCTCACCTTCAGAGACAGTGTCGTTCTCCGCGGATAGGATGAAGGTTGGATCCGGTGAGTCGATACCATCTATATTATTGAGAATGGATGCATTTGGTATTTAGTTCAAAGTCCCAAGATGGATAGGATGGAATTCGAATTAAATGAGCAAAAGTGCTCTGAATGTGAGAGGAAAGGGTAGTTTGATTTATATTTAAGATAGAGGATGGGATGAAAATTGAATAATCCAGATCGAATGCATCTGCATTTTTCTGATCCATTTGACTTGTTTTTAATTTAATCCTAAATGCTCAAAGCCGGATAGGATGAATGCCGTATCAACTATTAAATAAAATCCATAATTTCATGTACTGTATGTGAACAAATACATTTACATTTCATCAACAAAATACATTTGGGTTCTAAATACCAATCTGGGTTGATAATGATATCAGTTAGGAGATGTTCATTTCCGTACCAGCGATGGAACAGCTTCAAAGAATGAACGACTGTCACATCCTCGCTAAGAACATCCAGAACATAGATGAGGCGATCTGTTTAACTCGCCAAGGCGATGTGTTAAGGATGAGATCGCGAGAAGCGACGTTGTCAAAACTCACCAAGGCGATATATGTTTAAGACGAGAATGCGAGTATTTAAAACTGACACGGCACCTTGTTTGAATCGAGAAGGCAAGGAGGCAACTTGGTGAGTTCTCACCAGCTGCCTTCTCGGCTTAAACAAGGCGATTTGGCGACTTTTGACAACTCGCTTTCTCCATTGACTTTAACGAGGCGCGTTGGCGAGATGATACAACGTGCCTTGACGAGTTAAACAAATCGCCTCTCCACTGCTCGTTTAACCCTATTTAGCCCGGGCTATTTTGAAACTGCATAGTCGGGGGGGGGGGGGGCTTCTAGAACCCTCCCCTACGATCTCGGCCGTGAAACGACCGATCGTCGCAAAAATTTGCATACATGTCAAGTGAAGTGTATATAATACTATGGTAATTTTAATTTTTTGAAAAATTCACTCATTTGCATATTTATGGTAATTTATGCAAATAAGGTCATCAAATTCACATTTTTGCCCATAAATCAGACATTATTCATATTTAAGCATTCTTTCTCACTACATATATTTTTTAGACCATTAGAAATAATAATACAACACAAAAAAATGAAAAAGCAGGGTTATTCCTTATGTTATCTATTGTTTTGATAATTTCTCATGTATTTCTTTGTTTCTTTAACTTATGTATTTCATTGTTTTTGTTGTTTTATTTCATTTCCAACTATAATTCATCTATTTTGACCCCAAAATAAACACCTAAACTATAAACAAGACCAAATAACCAATGTTTTATCTCTTTATTTGAAAAATGATATTTCCATATGTTTTGTACACAAATCACAAAAATGAGCGATTTTCGGGCTGACATGCAAAGACAAAAGGACACGTGACTTTGTAATGGTAGGTCCGATTGTCGAGAAATTTCCTTCAAAACATGTGCAAGACTCGAAAGAAAAAAGTCACAAATATCAGTGCAAGATTTTTTTGCGTTAAAAAATTATCGCGAAAAATTCTAAAGCCCCCCCCCCCCCCCCCCTCTGGACTAGATAGGGTTAAGTTTTTGTAGATGTTATATTAAATCTAAAAGTCAATTATGTAAACTTACCCTCTAGGAATTCCGTCATATTGATGGTAGTACCATTAATTAGAATACTCATTTCTGTCCTGTTATAATTCAGCTGAAATTCGACCTATCACAAATATGGCAAAACAAACATTGAATTGAAATTAAACAGTATTTATCACAAATTCAAATGGTGACCTAAGAGCTGTATTGTATGTATTTTGCAAAGTAAATGACCCAATCTTTAAACAAAATATGTATGTAGAAGGAGAGGGGAGAGAAGGGTGAGAGGAGACAATGATATAGTAGCGGATGGCATGAGTTTTGTCATCTGTGTGCAACAGGCTTTAGGATTAGGTTTAAGGTTAAGGAATTATGTATATTCTGGTAAATTTAGTTAGTGAAGGATTTACCAACATGTGACTGTTGCAGCTCTGTAGAATTTCCTAGACTAACCAAAATCCTAATTTAGACCCTAAATCGCACACTGCACCCTTACCACAACTCTGCACCTTTGATGAAAACAAATCTGAAGTACTTGTCGCAAGAACAGAATCACCTGACCGATGGGCTATCGCCGGTGGTACATGCCATCAGTTCCAGCTAGGAGATTCATTCTGCCGGGATTAAGTACAAATCGCCTGCGACACCGGCAGAACCACCTACCTTAGTGATGTCTTGTGTTGCAGCGAACCCTGTGAAGACTGTCCCATGTTCCACAGGCATGCTGTTGTTAAACGCCTTACCAGTTCTGGATTGCAGTATGAACGGGTCACCATGACTGTAAGACATCGTGGTGTATTCCCCAAGACCATTGAAGGTGTACTTCCTACCGTCAAGGGTATTGATGTGCGGGTCGCCCCAAAACCATCCTGAAATGTTAAGAATCGAGATGGCGCGATCAAACTTCTTATTGCATTGTGAACAAAGTAGAAGCAACTGCATACTATGGGATCACCAAACCCAACATGATTTTTTTTTCAAAGCAATCCCTCCAATAATCAAACAGAGGTAGGCCTACCGGTAAACGCAAATGCGCTCTAATTAGGAAACACAATGTTTTGGGGTCTCGTCACTTGACTTAATAAAATAATTAGATAATGTACTGTTTTTATTTCATTTTGCATTGGTATTTGATTCAAGATCTTTGTCAGAATGATGTAACCCCTACCAGCCTTCTTACTGGGGCCATTTCAGGGCGCTTGTTCAGAAACGTATTCAAAATTTGACCCGTAACTCCGGATCTGAGACATTACGGTAGATAACTCATAGATAAGCGGGTTGCCGTGAAACCTGTAAAAAGGTGTTTACTAATATCAATGTTTATCTGAAAAATACTCCAAAAATAACAAGAAAGTTGGCTTTTTATTAACACGGCAGCGAGGGGAAAAGCTCGATTAATTCCAATGAAACCGCTCGCGGAGAGTCTAGTCTGAAGTGCCTGTACTGAATATGACTTGTGTTGTCCATGTACCGTACTCTGTGTTGTTGGTACGTGGCCGAGGGCATGTATATTATGTTCACGCTCTCTGTGCCATGGTGTCGCATATAATATCATACTGCCGTCACTGTTTATTGCATAAGACATCTATTTTGTTTTCTTGTTTTCCTTTAGATGTCTTTCATCGTTTCCTTCTCTAGATCTACACGTTAAGTACAATTCCCTTTATAATACACTGCACTGTTAGTACTCCGATTTAGTCTAGTCTAGACTCTTTGCGAGCGGTTTCATTGGAATTAATCTAGAAATTCCCCTCGCTGCCGTGTAAAAAAAAAATACTCTACCGTGGGTAAAAATGTTTCCCAGCTCAATCACTGTCAACTCACCACTAAGAAACTGGGACCAAATGTCCGGATTTCTGTTTGGACTTGGAGGGAAATTGATTTTTCTGTCATTTTTGGTTTTAAAAACAGCATTGTTTACTATTATTATTATTATTAAATCGGCGCCTTCAACTGCAACTCAAGTGTAATCGCTTGAGTTTTCGGAGACGGACTTAGATACCTAGCTAAGTATCTCAAGTAGTATGGTGGTGGCAACCAAAAAAAAACACAAAAAAACAAAATCAGAAAAAACACCAACATTCAAGAATTCAAAAACAAACAAACAAGCCTGGGAGTGTACTCGATTACCTCATTACACGGTAATGCACAGCCTTAATTTCTATGTGAATTGTGTCTGTATATGCACCTTATCAAAACATATTGGCCTATCTAATTATCAATTTGATATAATAATGCTAGGAGTTGAAAACAAATATGTTGCTATGTATGGATATCAAACCAAACAAAACAATGATGTGCATATATATGAGTACAACTGTAAGATAATTAGATTATGATTATTAATTATTTGTTTAGAAATACCCTAGACATAATCTTACCGAACCATGGCCGTCTATATCCCCAGCAGTGAGATCTTGGACGACGACTTTCGTAAAGGTTACAGAAATTCCCTCCAGCCAGACCACAGCAGAAGAAACGGGGTAGGACGTCCCTCTCTGAATAAATGAAAACGAGTTTAGAAAAGGAGATCATTAAGAAAGGGCAAAAAGAGATTGAGAAAGAAGACAGAGAGAGAAAGAAGAGAGCGAGAGAGGGAGAAAGAGACAAAAGAGAAAAAGAGAGATGGAGGGGGGGGAGGGACAGAAAGAGAGGGGCGTGCATGTGAGATAACAATTAGCAAATTGAATAGTGGCCGAATGTCCCAGAGTTTGTTTTGTACAGTTGTCCAATTACGTTTTATTACTAAAACAAACGCTCAGAAGAAAAAAACAAGGAAATATCAAAATTTTAATTTTACGTTTTTATTACTATTGGCATTAAATAAGTAAATGCTTTTAGGGGATGTTTCAAATGAATTGATTATCATAACACATCTAACACACATGGAAACATAAAAGACAGAGAACCAGACGTCACCCTTGTAGAAATTGTTTCCATTTAAAAGCCCACGTCACAGATTAGCAAGCCTTCAATAAATTATCTCAAAATTAAACTGTAAGAGCAAGATGAGTTTATGAAAGTATGTACACAATCTAAGATGACTCTGTGGTTTATTCTCTATGATTAAGGAATGAAGGCCCAATTTGTACACAACAAATGGGGTTGAATTAAACACTGCCAGTTGAAAAATGCAAACTTGAAAAATAAAAATGACTGTCTTTTTGCGAATAATGAACATTTTGCCACTTTATTATAAGGAAAGTTTTGGGTTATGATTTTTACACCATTTTGAGATGTTCACCTTGCATATCCCTGCAACCAGTAGCGTACGCAGGATTTTTCCAAGGGGGGGGGGGGGGGGGGGGTAAGGTCACCTTTTTAGGTAAAAAAAAGAAGAAAAAAAAGGGGGGGTCTCTAAAATACACAAATAAACAATCTCAAAGGGGATGGGGGGGTTTAACCCCCACCCCCCCCCCCCCCCCGCGTATGGGCCTACCTGCAACGCCTTTCAATGTAACGTTAGTGAATTGGAATCACAGGAATTTAGGTGTACTCACCAATCCAAGAATAATAGTAATCAAGGGAATAATAGTAATAAGAGAAGAATCGACGATTGGAGGGCATGACTGCTTGGTAGTGACTGGCCCTATAACCCCTGCTCAAAGCAGACTGATCGTATGTACAACGGTATCCACCACCACCAAATGAGGGCCATCTAGGCTGGTAACAGGTCGTTCCTCTTCCATCTGTTAACAGAATGCAGAGAGGAAACATGGTTAATGAAATGCACAGTGGTCTATGCTCCCCGCCCCTCCGTATCATTCGCTAAAAATAGAAGATTATCCACGTAACTTAGATCTATCCAATCCAAGGTGTTTGGGTGTCAACACCCCCCCCCCCCCCCACACACACCCGTTCAGAAGTTTTGGCTACGATAGTAGTTAAAAGAAGTCGGGTACTGGTCATGTGACTAAATTAGGAAAGAAACTGTATGAAGGAAACAATTGAAAAGTTTGATTGTGTAGTTGACATAATGATACGTTGAGGTATTGGAATGATCTGAATGAAAAGGAATTGAAATAGAAATGAAAATTTAAATTAAGTATTTTATATTTCATTCAAAAATTTGCCCGGCACTAACGTCCTTTCGATAGACGGTCCTGGGTTTTGATCCTTCATTGTATGGTGTTTACATCCATGTACAAGTATTTTTATTGACATTTGTCCCTCTCGGCACATGTGTAAATGGACATACCTGGCAATGCTGATGTAATTATAATTACAGGGGCCGTTATGATTATTATAAAGGGACATTAAAACAATGCTGCTCACCGTAGTTATAACTCTGCAGGCCATAGCTGTAGCCATAATTAAACCCGTATCCGTAACCATATCCGTAGGAGGGATAGTTGCATCGAGTAAACCTTCGATCGATCCTGGCCTGCCAGCGGGTGCAAGGACATGGCTGTGCCCACCGTGCATATGATATCTTTGAGAGATCATCCAGGTACCAATCTTGACAGTAACGGCGGGGGTTGACGTACCAGTCAGGATTTGTGTCAAGACGATAGATGTCTCTCCCCTGTACGTATGAGCAAAACATGGTTTGAACTACGGTGTGATCCATGTAATTATTATTATTATTATTATCATGATTATTATCTTGGTTGTATAATATAGCAGGGCTCTTGTAATTTGTAATAAGCTTCAATAATTTGTTATGATTTATTTCACTATTAAGGTGGGGGGGGGGGGGGGATGACGTAAAAGCTACCCTAAAATAACGACATTCCTAATTATATTCAGGGAAATGTTAATTACTATGAGACCAGTGTAATTCTAAGATCAGAGCAATAGCTGACGTAGCGCATAGTATAGTGATTCTACTTTCTACCTAATATTGTTTATTCATATCTCATCATTTTAGGTAAGAGACATAATTACCGTCCAAACATAACGATATTACTAACTTATTCAAGTTAATAGTCCTTACAGTTTGCTTAACAATTGATTGCGTGTCGTAAAGCAAGGCTGTTCTTATTGTAAAAATCTTTACTGTCTAATTACTCATGATTTATGTTGTTACATGTAGGTAAGGGACGTGACAGCCGTCCTGACATGACGATATTCTTTACTACAAGTATATTCAAGGAAACAGTCCTTACCATGAGACCGGTGTTGCCAATCCTGAGATCAGGGCGATAGCTTGTGTACCGTATAGCAGGATAGTTTCCCTGGTAGATATTCAGTCTATCATGTTTGATGTTGTAACCAATCCTAGCAGGTATAACCTTAGAGTACGGATCCCACTGAAAGCTTCCTTGTTCATACATCGTCAAGACACCGCTTCTTCTGCCGTCAGTAAAGAGAATTGCTTGGTAGGTATTGGTCTGAAGGAGGGAAGAGTGTACATAAGGTTGTAAGTATTAATACTGCTCTTCCTGCGGGTCCTGCAATTATTATTCCCCCAGCATTGTCAGATAAAAATTAAATACAAGTGGAAAGAAGGATACAAATGTGTTCAAAACACCTTAATTATCTGAGGATGTAAGAAAAGAGCTAGCAACCTATGCAATTATTGAACCCGGGACATCTCGTATGAATCTAAAATTATTTTAATATACCACGATGTTCCAAAGAGGAAAGAAACTTGGAACAGATTGTAGTGGATCATCAACACAAAAGCAGTGACTTCACCAAGTATTGTATAATCATGATACGTGATAAAATAAGTACACAGATAGGAGGACATGGGGGAGGAGGTTGCGAGGGAGGGGGTGGGGGTTATAAGACAGAAAGGAGAGGGAGTAATTCGAATCTGCCCTCTAATGTTGGATACGCCGACGTGTTAGATGTGAAATTCACCTCCTGTCCTGCGATTGATCCTGGAGTCTGCACATCAACCCACGTGACCTTAAGAATGAAGTTGATTCCATTGATGAACTGGGAGGACTCTAATCCTGCCGGAAGTGACGGAGCTCCATACAGTCTTTCTTTCACTGCTGCAAGCAGAGCAGCAGAGTTTCCATACTAGTAAAACAAAACATCATAATAGTTATAATGACGATGCAGACAATAATAACAATAATAACAAGAAGTATGTTTGATAACAATGATAATAGTAATGAATTAAAACAACAATAATAATAATAATAATAAAAACAATAATAACAATATTAATACCTCATATTAATCCTGGATTTTTTACACATGGAGACGTCCCACTTTGTGCATTTTAGAATAATCACTGCGAAAGTGATCGATGTGCTTCATGAATATATTTTTGTTTGTCCTCTTGAGTATAATATTTACATCTGTGTATCAGAGAATGCGTACACACCGACTAGATGGGTTTTTAAAAAGTTGGTTCAAATTACCCTTATCTGCCTATATGCGCAGATTGTAGTTACGGACTTGCTAATACCTTAGTCACACCTATAGGAGGCCAGCACCAGGCCGACTATAGTCCGAACAAGACATTACATTACCTCGAATGGGAAATAAACGATCGGTATACAGTCGGTTTGGAGGTGGGACGAAAGTATACGAATGCTCACCTGGTAGTAGATCTTAGGGTTACCCCGGTAGAGGTCAACCGGGGCACCAAATACCGCAATGGCAGGGTCTGCATAGAGCTGATCGAAGAAACTGAACGTAGACGGGTTGATGTATTTGGAAAGTGTATAACTGCGTGGAGAGTAGGTCGAAAAATGGATCATTCCTGTCGATGTGAACTGTACGAGTAAGGCAAAGAGAAAATATATCTTGTGTGTGAGTGGGTGACATCAAGATTATGCTCTTCATTAACAACAACAAAGAAGATGTACACAAAGAAGGGGTGAACATGCTCAGAAAAAAGAAGCCTTCTTTTTCTTTCGATAATAACAGTTATTCATATTACCTTGGTCACACCATTAAACCGATCCCGTATCGAATCCGAACCGATTGTTTTTTGGCCATTAATGGCAATGCAATATTTTGTTCGGTCTGTTGTCGGTGTGACTGAGGTATGAATGAGTACTGAGTTGTGGGATTAACCGCACTTTGCTATCAAAGCTCTCTGCTACAAAGGCCTTACTGAAAGGAAGCCCATGGCTAAATGTCCTATCTTAATCTCTAAAAAAAGACCCTACAATTATCTTTTTGAATGAGATGGTTATGTAAATGTAGTGCTTTACATTAGTGTTACTAAGAACTTAGAAATACAAAATTAAAGAATGAAGCAGCATTGAATAGCTGAAATAATAATGAAAGAGGTTGATGATAAAAATACCAATTTTTGTTTACGCAGGAAAGCCTCATAAGCATCGATGCTAATATTTATTAGGGCCCTGCAAGTATGATTAAATGTCTTGCCAAAGGATGCTAGTGCCGGGATTGGATTCGAACCCTCAACCCTTGGATTTCAGAGTCAAGTGAATGAACCACTATACCAGGACACATCGATATTGAATGCTGAATGTAAAACTTACAGTGATGTAGTTGTATAGCCGGCCGGAGCTGATAGGAAACCCCGTATCAAGTCTTGTAGTGTACCAAGCAAGAACGTTGTATTGAAAGTAACTCAGTGACCGGTCGGGGTAAGAGCCGTAGTCAATGTAGATACGCTCTAAACAATGCATTCAAATAAAAATTTGAATATTTATCTAAATATATGAACTGTCCATTGATGAATTGATGAACATACACGAATGAGCAGTACAAACGCCTAAGCATGTGAAAATTGATTTCAAAAGGCAATGAATTTGATAAAGATGACGAGAAAAAACAACCCATTTTGACAGATTAATCTTTACTTGACGGATTACAGAAAAATCGAGTCAAAAGTGGTATCTTCAATTCGATTAATGACGGCGAGGGAAAGAGTTACCTCATTTGTGAAACTATAAGTCAATAAATCCAACTTTGTAAATGGACTGAATATTTCTCTCAAAGTTCAAAGCTTTTCCAAAATATGGCCTTTGAAAAAGAAAAAGAAAACATTTTTTTGGAAAAAAGATAATTTAATCTCAAATCTTAACGAGTGTGCTCCTGATTGATCAAAAATAACAGAAAGCAAGTGATTTGTTCATTTTGGGTTGAAATCAATAAAAAAAAATGACGCATAACTTACCTTTCCATTGGAATGCGTTGCAAAACATTTTATCGCCCAAATGAGATTCGCTATGATCACAATGACGTATGCTAGTTTCAAAGTATCCTTAAACAGAATCTTTATCAACTGAGATCGTTGTTGGAATCCCTATATCAAATCTGCTCTTTTTAAATGACCATGCACTCCTATGAATCATGTGTCTACTCGAAATCAAAAGGAGGGTAGTTTCTCTCAATTCCTAACAAGAATGCGAAACATCCTCGAACTGTATTTCGAAATGCATGCATAAATGTGTCTTACAGATTTTACGCCAATTATATGATGCATATTTCACGCATGAGTGATTAAAATGAATTTGAAGAGAGGAAATCAACAAATTATTTGGCGGACGGTATCTTAGTCCGTGGGCCAGAGGGGGCTACCGTGCACCCCCCCCCCTATGATCCTACTTCTTGGGTGTCATTTTGTTCATTGGGATCCATAATATCAGAAAAAAGATGTTCCCAAGAAAAAACTGTTTTTTTGCTCCTTATTTAAAGTGTTTTGCACACTTTCTTAGGGTTTGTGAATTATGTGCTTACATTTTACCCAATTTCTCAGCAGATATAACTCTAATCTCCACCACATTTATAAAAGATCTTCGTAAACAATACAACAATAGGTAACCAACATTATTTTATTTTATTTTATTGTCTTTAATTGTTAATGACGTCATAAATTTGCATATATTTTGATATGCAAATTTCTGCCTCAAAACCTATCAAAATTATCTAAAAGTTGTATTTTGTCTGCTATTATCATGAAATAAGTTTTCAAACCCTCTAATTTGGTGTAAAATTATTCATTGATATGTTATCTGATGTTTCCTGCAAAAAAAAAATGCAGTCAACTCTTGTTGACATTGTTGTTTCCCATTATTTGTTATGTAAACATACAGTTTTCCGTTTATTGTACATTTTCTTAGGGTTTGTGAATTATGTGCTTACATTTTACCCTGTTTCTCAGCAGATATAAGACAAATCGCCAAGGAACTTTCTTTGGTTCATGTACGTGCTACTGAGGATACTGTGCTATTTGAAGATTCAACTGTCTCATTGTTAGAAATCTCCAGCAGCATAATCCCATGGGCTGTGTGGACAGAGCCAGAACCACCTAAGTTGAAATGTATTGGTTGAAATCGTCAACGTCTGAATGGAAGACTGATGGCTCCATGTGATGGCGGACTACCTGTCCAGATAGAATACCGAAAGTCTACTGTGCTATGGCAGATTCAAGCTCAAGTGAAAATAAATAGCTTTCTGAATGAACAAGCCAATTCAGGAATGTGATCAATTGAGCACTGCGTAAGAGATGTCTCAGAGTCATCCATACCAGTATATGCTTGGACATTTTCCACTTTCCATTTGTGGCTGCCCTAGATATTTCTTGTCCTAGAGATATGACAAGTTTTGTTACTCTTTGTGACGGTCGAGATGGATTTCCACTCAACAAATGGTTCAGAAACTTCTCTTGCTCAGTGGGAATCTGGTCAACTGTGGGCTATTTCCGTTGTTCTCTGTTTAGCTACTTCATCGTATTTGCCACTTCTCCATTAATCTGGCTTTTAGTTCGCCACATATTTCTACCGACAGTTCTTGTGATTTCTTGCTTCTGCAGCAAACAGATCAACTTCCAGGATTCTCAAAAGTAGGTCTTCATCACCCCCTCTCTTTGCAACATCTACAACATTTTGCCACCCACCAAAATCTAACATTGGTGTACTTTCTGAGATACAATCAGGATTGAGAATGACTTCACCAATTGACGATTTGGGTGGACGGGATGTTGAAGGTATATGGCATCAGATAAGATCTCTGACAGTCGATTGAGATTCTTGGTAAAAAGTTGGTAGCACTCCCGATGCTAACCGTGCACATCTGAAATGTCTTCAAGAATGAGGATGTATGCTTCTTCCATTGCTCATTGTGTCAAGTCAGTTGAAGTTCGTGAAATTGTACCCCGTTTGTTTATTCATTTGTATAAACAACAAAACTATATTGTAGCATATAATGGGATTAATGACCAACTGCTGAAAAAATTTGCTTTTTCTGATCCCCCCTCTTCAGGCTGATACTATAACAGGAAACAATGATGTATGTGGTAAATTACTGTATTTGATTTAGTTTGATGTTAACAGGCTAGCCCCAATAGTAATTGAAATACTGCTTGTTGAGCTTTTGTTTTTTTAAACAGGAACTTTAATTGAATGTACATTATAGAATGTATTAATCGTAATATGCGGGAGAGGGGGGGGGGGGTGGGGGATACGAGTTGACTGATACTGAACAAAATTTGCAGGAAACATCAGATAACATATCAATGAATAATTTTACACCAAATTAGGGGGTTTGAAAACTTGTTTCATGATAATAGCAGACAAAATACAACTTTTAGGTGATTTTGACAGGTTTTGAGACAGAAATTTGCATATTAAAAATATGCAAATTTATGACGTCATTAATAATTGAAGACAATAAAATAAATTAAAATAATTTTGTCTTCCTGTTGTTGTATGATTTACTAAAATTGTTCATTAATTTGATGGAGGTTAGACATATATCTGCTGAGAAACGGTAAAATGGAAGCACATAATTCACAAACCATAAGAAAATGTACAATACACGGAAAACTGATATGTTTACACATAACAAATAATGGTAAAAAACAATGTCTACATGAGTTGACTAATTTTTTTTTTGCAGCAAACATCAGATAACATATCAATGAATAATTTTACACCAAATTAGGGGGTTTGAAAACTTATTTCATGATAATAGCAGACAACATACAACTTTCTGGTGATTTTGACAGGTTTTGAGGCAGAAATTTGCATATCAAAATATATGCAAATTTTTGACGTCATTACCAACTGAAGACAATAAAATAAAATAAAATAATTTCGTCTACCTAATATTGAATAGTTTACAAAGATCGTTTATAAATTTGGTAGAGGTTTGACTTATATCTGCTGAGAAACAGGATAAAATGTAAGCACATAATTCACAAACCCTAAGAAAATGTACAATACACGGAAAACTGATATGTTTACATAACAAATAATGGTAAAAAAACAATGTCAAAAAGAGTTGACTGATTTTTTTTGCAAGAAACGTCAGATACCTTCACACGTAGTCCCAGTCCAGCCATCAGCACAGACACAAGTAAAGGTGTTGTCTCCATCAGTGCAAACTCCTTCATTCTTACAAGGAACGGCAAAACATTCGTCGGTATCTGTGCCAAATGAGTTCCAAAGATAAAGAATGCGATAAAAGTGAAAAGAAAATAATTCCCATTACTAGATGTTTTCTCCATTTCTTTCCATGTTCACCCTTGATTTTTTTTTTAAACAGCAAGGAGTCATTGCAATACTAAAAAACTGTTTAATAGAGTGTGTATAGGCATGTTATCGGATTCGACATTTTAGCTTACCCTCACACGTAGTCCCAGTCCAGCCATCAGCACAGACACAAGTAAAGGTGTTGTCTCCATCAGTGCAAACTCCTTCATTCTTACAAGGAACGGCAAAACATTCGTCGGTATCTGTGCCAAATGAGTTCCAAAGATAAAGAATGTGATAAAAGTGAAAAGAAAATAATTCCCATTTTGACAGATTTTTCATTATTTGGGGGAAAATAGGAAAATATAATATGATATGATATTTTTAAATTTAAAGCAATGACTGTAGAGGAACAGTTTAGTTTATGTATAAAACAACTGAAAAGTTATCAAATGAGATAAATTAACTGAAGGCCTCCTTTAAAATTCGTATTCATTTAAAAATCGTAGCATGAGATAGAAAATATTTTTTGGTTAAAATCAAATTTTGGAATAAACATCAATGTGCTCCTGCAAGGTAAAAAAGGAAAGGAAAACATAACATCTTTCATTTGGGATGAGAAAAGAATGTCCTTTGCAAGGTCTAAGTTTGAAGACACCTAAAATAAGAAAGATCAATCTTAATGATTAGGATTAAATTAACTACTCTTATCTTCCCTTAATTTTAAAAAGATTGTTGTGGGAAATACAATATGAAAACTGCTCTTTAAATGACCATGCACTCTTATTATCCATGTGTCTACTTAAAATCAAAAGAAGTATAGTTTCTCTCATTACAGCTCCAACATTTCAGACACCCTCGCTTCTTTTGGCCGTACTTTTACTTCTGTTCACTCTCAATTTAAAATAGGCTTCTAAGATTTTCCTCTCCAATGACTACATGTCTTCTCCGTTTCTTTCCTTGTTCACCTTTGATTTTTTTTTAAGAACAGCAAGGAGGCATTGCAATACTTAAAAACTGTTTAATAGAGTGTATATAGGCATGTTCTCTGATTCGAATTTTTAGCTTACCTTCACACGTAGTCCCAGTCCAGCCATCAGCACAGACACAAGTAAAGGTGTTGTCTCCATCAGTGCAAACTCCTTCATTCTTACAAGGAACGGCAAAACATTCGTCGGTATCTGTGCCAAATGAGTTCCAAAGATAAAGAATGCGATAAAAGTGAAAAGAAAATAATTCCCATTACTAGATGTTTTCTCCATTTCTTTCCATGTTCACCCTTGATCTCTTTTTTTAAGAGCAAGGAGTCATTGCAATACTAAAAAACTGTTTAATAGAGTGTGTATAGGCATGTTATCGGATTCGACTTTTTAGCTTACCCTCACACGTAGTCCCAGTCCAGCCATCAGCACAGACACAAGTAAAGGTGTTGTCTCCATCAGTGCAAACTCCTTCATTCTTACAAGGAACGGCAAAACATTCGTCGGTATCTGTGCCAAATGAGTTCCAAAGAAAAAGAATGCGATAAAAGTAAAAAGAAAATAATTCCCATTACTAGATGTTTTCTCAATTTCTTTCCATGTTCACCCTTGATCTCTTTTTTTAAGAGCAAGGAGTCATTGCAATACTAAAAAACTGTTTAATAGAGTGTGTATAGGCATGTTATCGGATTCGACTTTTTAGCTTACCCTCACACGTAGTCCCCGTCAAGCCATCAGCACAGACACAAGTAAAGGTGTTTTCTCCATCAGTGCAAACTCCTTCATTCTTACAAGGAACGGCAAAACATTCGTCGGTATCTGTGCCAAATGAGTTCCAAAGATAAAGAATGTGATAAAAGTGAAAAGAAAATAATTCCCATTTTGACAGATTTTTCATTATTTGGGGGAAAATAGGAAAATATAATATGATCTCATATTTTTAAATTCAAAGCAATGACTGTAGAGGAACAGTTTAGTTCATGTATAAAACAACTAAAAAGTTATCAAATGAGATAAATTAACTGAAGGCCTCCTTTAAAATTCGTATTCATTTCAAAATCGTAGCATGAGATAGAAAATATTTTTTAGTTCAAATCAAATTTTGGAATAAACATCAATGTGCTCCTGCAAGGTAAAAAAGGAAAGGAAAACATAACATCTTTCATTTGGGATGAGAAAAGAATGTCCTTTGCAAGGTCTAAGTTTAAAGACACCTAAAATAAAAAAGATCAATCTTGATGATTAGGATGAAATTAGCTACTCTTATCTTCCCCTAATTTTAAAAAGATTGTTGTGGGAAATACAATATGAAAACTGCTCTTTAAATGACCATGCACTCTTATTATCCATGTGTCTACTTAAAATCAAAAGAAGTATAGTTTCTCTCATTACAGCTCCAACATTTAAGATACCCTCGCTTCTTTTGGCCGTTCTTTTACTTCTGTTTACTCTCAATTTAAAATAGACTTCTAAGATTTTCCTCTCCAATTACTACATGTCTTCTCCGTTTCTTTCCTTGTTCACCTTTGATTTTTGTTTAAGAAGAGCAAGGAGGCATTGCAATACTAAAAAACTGTTTAATAGAGTGTATATAGGCATGTTCTCTGATTCGACTTTTTAGCTTACCTTCACACGTAGTCCCAGTCCAGCCATCAGCACAGACACAAGTAAAGGTGTTGTCTCCATCAGTGCAAACTCCTTCATTCTTACAAGGAACGGCAAAACATTCGTCGGTATCTGTGCCAAATGAGTTCCAAAGATAAAGAATGCGATAAAAGTAAAAAGAAAATAATTCCCATTACTAGATGTTTTCTCAATTTCTTTCCATGTTCACCCTTGATCTCTTTTTTTAAGAGCAAGGAATCATTGCAATACTAAACAACTGTTTAATAGAGTGTGTATAGGCATGTTATCGGATTCGACTTTTTAGCTTACCCTCACACGTAGTCCCCGTCCAGCCATCAGCACAGACACAAGTAAAGGTGTTGTCTCCATCAGTGCAAACTCCTTCATTCTTACAAGGAACGTCAAAACATTCGTCGGTATCTGTGCCAAATGAGTTCCAAAGATAAAGAATGTGATGAAAGTGAAAAGAAAATAATTCCCATTTTGACAGATTTTTCATTATTTGGGGGAAAATATGAAAATATAATATGATCTGATATTTTTAAATTCAAAGCAATGACTGTAGAGGAACGGTTTAGTTCATGTATAAAACAACTAAAAAGTTATCAAATGAGATAAATTAACTGAAGGCCTCCTTTAAAATTCGTATTCATTTCAAAATCGTAGCATGAGATAGAAAATATTTTTTGGTTCAAATCAAATTTTGGAATAAACATCAATGTGCTCCTGCAAGGTAAAAAAAGGAAAGGAAAACATAACATCTTTCATTTGGGATGAGAAAAGAATGTCCTTTGCAAGGTCTAAGTTTGAAGACACCTAAAATAAAAAAGATCAATCTTAATAATTAGGATGAAATTAACTACTCTTATCTTCCCCTAATTTTAAAAAGATTGTTGTGGGAAATACAATATGAAAACTGCTCTTTAAATGACCATGCACTCTTATTATCCATGTGTCTACTTAAAATCAAAAGAAGTATAGTTTCTCTCATTACAGCTCCAACATTTCAGACACCCTCGCTTCTTTTGGCCGTACTTTTACTTCTGTTTACTCTCAATTTAAAATAGACTTCTAAGATTTTCCTCTCCAATTACTACATGTCTTCTCCGTTTCTTTCCTTGTTCACCTTTGATTTTTGTTTAAGAAGAGCAATGAGGCATTGCAATACTAAAAAACTGTTTAATAGAGTGTATATAGGCATGTTCTCTGATTCGACTTTTAAGCTTACCTTCACACGTAGTCCCAGTCCAGCCATCAGCACAGACACAAGTAAAGGTGTTGTCTCCATCAGTGCAAACTCCTTCATTCTTACAAGGAACGGCAAAACATTCGTCGGTATCTGTGCCAAATGAGTTCCAAAGATAAAGAATGTGATAAAAGTGAAAAGAAAATAATTCCCATTTTGACAGATTTTTCATTATTTGGGGGAAAATAGGAAAATATAATATGATCTCATATTTTTAAATTCAAAGCAATGACTGTAGAGGAACAGTTTAGTTCATGTATAAAACAACTAAAAAGTTATCAAATGAGATAAATTAACTGAAGGCCTCCTTTAAAATTCGTATTCATTTCAAAATCGTAGCATGAGATAGAAAATATTTTTTGGTTCAAATCAAATTTTGGAATAAACATCAATGTGCTCCTGCAAGGTAAAAAAGGAAAGGAAAACATAACATCTTTCATTTGGGATGAGAAAAGAATGTCCTTTGCAAGGTCTAAGTTTAAAGACACCTAAAATAAAAAAGATCAATCTTGATGATTAGGATGAAATTAGCTACTCTTATCTTCCCCTAATTTTAAAAAGATTGTTGTGGGAAATACAATATGAAAACTGCTCTTTAAATGACCATGCACTCTTATTATCCATGTGTCTACTTAAAATCAAAAGAAGTATAGTTTCTCTCATTACAGCTCCAACATTTAAGACACCCTCGCTTCTTTTGGCCGTACTTTTACTTCTGTTCACTCTCAATTTAAAATAGGCTTCTAAGATTTTCCTCTCCAATTACTACATGTCTTCTCCGTTTCTTTCCTTGTTCACCTTTGATTTTTTTTTAAGAAGAGCGAGGAGGCATTGCAATACTTAAAAACTGTTTAATAGAGTGTATATAGGCATGTTCTTTGATTCGACTTTTAAGCTTACCTTCACACGTAGTCCCAGTCCAGCCATCAGCACAGACACAAGTAAAGGTGTTGTCTCCATCAGTGCAAACTCCTTCATTCTTACAAGGAACGGCAAAACATTCGTCGGTATCTGTGCCAAATGAGTTCCAAAGAAAAAGAATGCGATAAAAGTAAAAAGAAAATAATTCCCATTACTAGATGTTTTCTCAATTTCTTTCCATGTTCACCCTTGATCTCTTTTTTTAAGAGCAAGGAGTCATTGCAATACTAAAAAACTGTTTAATAGAGTGTGTATAGGCATGTTATCGGATTCGACTTTTTAGCTTACCCTCACACGTAGTCCCCGTCCAGCCATCAGCACAGACACAAGTAAAGGTGTTGTCTCCATCAGTGCAAACTCCTTCATTCTTACAAGGAACGGCAAAACATTCGTCGGTATCTGTGCCAAATGAGTTCCAAAGATAAAGAATGTGATAAAAGTGAAAAGAAAATAATTCCCATTTTGACAGATTTTTCATTATTTGGGGGAAAATAGGAAAATATAATATGATCTGATATTTTTAAATTCAAGGCAATGACTGTAGAGGAACAGTTTAGTTCATGTATAAAACAACTAAAAAGTTATCAAATGAGATAAATTAACTGAAGGCCTCCTTTAAAATTCGTATTCATTTCAAAATCGTAGCATGAGATCGAAAATATTTTTTGGTTCAAATCAAATTTTGGAATGAACATCAATGTGCTCCTGCAAGGTAAAAAAAGGAAAGGAAAACATAACATCTTTCATTTGGGATGAGAAAAGAATGTCCTTTGCAAGGTCTAAGTTTAAAGACACCTAAAATAAAAAAGATCAATCTTGATGATTAGGATGAAATTAGCTACTCTTATCTTCCCCTAATTTTAAAAAGATTGTTGTGGGAAATACAATATGAAAACTGCTCTTTAAATGACCATGCACTCTTATTATCCATGTGTCTACTTAAAATCAAAAGAAGTATAGTTTCTCTCATTACAGCTCCAACATTTAAGATACCCTCGCTTCTTTTGGCCGTACTTTTACTTCTGTTTACTCTCAATTTAAAATAGACTTCTAAGATTTTCCTCTCCAATTACTACATGTCTTCTCCGTTTCTTTCCTTGTTTACCTTTGATTTTTTTTAAGAAGAGCAAGGAGGCATTGCAATACTAAACAACTGTTTAATAGAGTGTATATAGGCATGTTCTCTGATTCGACTTTTTAGCTTACCTTCACACGTAGTCCCAGTCCAGCCATCAGCACAGACACAAGTAAAGGTGTTGTCTCCATCAGTGCAAACTCCTTCATTCTTACAAGGAACGGCAAAACATTCGTCGGTATCTGTGCCAAATGAGTTCCAAAGATAAAGAATGCGATAAAAGTAAAAAGAAAATAATTCCCATTACTAGATGTTTTCTCAATTTCTTTCCATGTTCACCCTTGATCTCTTTTTTTAAGAGCAAGGAGTCATTGCAATACTAAAAAACTGTTTAATAGAGTGTGTATAGGCATGTTATCGGATTCGACTTTTTAGCTTACCTTCACACGTAGTCCCAGTCCAGCCATCAGCACAGACACAAGTAAAGGTGTTGTCTCCATCAGTGCAAACTCCTTCATTCTTACAAGGAACGGCAAAACATTCGTCGGTATCTGTGCCAAATGAGTTCCAAAGATAAAGAATGCAATAAAAGTGAAAAGAAAATAATTCCTATTACTAGATGTTTTCTCCATTTCTTT